TTGAAGTAATAAAGTATCATCGGATTTTGCGTAAATCGGCTATCACTGAGTGTGAGTGTGTATAATGATTCGAGCCAAAAAAATGCTTCAACATCAATTGGTGATGAGACCGCCGGCCCTCATCTAAGAGAGGTGACCAGTCAGCACTACCAAGAGCTACCATTAACTTATTGGCCGGCCGAAGAGAGGAGGTGTTACCCCTGCAGCCGCTACTTACAGATCCACCAAGAGCCAATCAGTTCCTGTAGCTACTGAAACTCACAAGTCACGTGCAATATCCAATACCCCACGGACCCCCAACCAAGGGAGTGAGCGCGTCGCCGGTATCAGCCACGCACTTACCGACATAACGTATACTTCCATAATCATTAAAAACTTAATTTAAATATTTTCCCTTTATTCTTCGAAAGGTTAGCTATCTTTGGGTTGATCTGGTCATGGCTCCCCTAAATTCAGATCTTCCGCCTCTTAAGGCTTTGCATAGTAACTGGGTGGTGCAGAAATTCGCTAGTACCAGTGTCGGCAAATTTAAGAAGCAAGACCTTTGATGTAAAGCTAGTAGAGTCTGATATCATCCAATGTCTATCTATTATAGTTAATGTAAAGGTCGGGGTTATAGACTAGGCAAGGACAAAAGGTAAAGTAGGATGGATCTGGATAAGGTCGAGACGGTACAGAAACTAATCCTTGACGAACTAGACTCTTCGTCAAGAATTCTGGATATATATAATCAAGAGTCGAACTCTACTTAAGCGAATGATCTACTCTTTAATCCTGGTCGTTCAGCGGCTGATATGCAGCTGATTTGGAATGCTCTTGGCGGGATGATAATATGGGGTCTTGCCATAACAGTTAAATTTATTTGACTAGCTATCTGGAAGTATGTTAGCTTAGCTTTCTATAGGTACTTTACTCTTAAAGATTATTATTAGAGGAAGGCTGAATCTGAGTATACTTATAGATATTAGGTTATAAAAATCAAAAGGAATTCTCTTTCTAGTGACATTAAATTTAAAGTAATTTGACTTTATTGATATTGTAGTATACACCACATCAAATGCTATATTTAAAATTCATTTATAGAAGGGTTTCATTATGGTACCCTTAGACGTCTATGTGTGAAAACCTAATATCAAGCCCTGGTAATATTTGGGTTTTACCTATGGATTTCAGAGTTGATGTCATGATGAGCCCCTGACTTGGGCGAAGCGCTAAATCTATCTGAGATCCCTACCAAATAGGTTTTTGTTCCCACCAAGCATGCTTCTTCGTCTATGCACTGTCACAAGTGTCTGAATGTCAATATGGATGCCCAATCACCGAACAACACTCTTCCACTGATATCAAAGCGCGAAATGGATGCGGATCTTGCTTGGGACCTCCAAAGTCGACAATATTTTTGTATTTGCTGTCGAGTATACCATCTCCAAAGTCGATACTATTCTTGTATATGCTGTCGAGTATACATAACAATTCCGATCGATTTCCGGTCAAAGTGTCGCCAAAGCAAGCTTGGATAAGTGACATCATTGGTCTTTACGGTCTGTCTCTATTTTCTCACAGTCCGTCTAGCAGAAACGAGAGTCCAGCCATCAGATGTCAATGAAACCGAGGTTGAATGGATGAAATATGTGATTGAAAAAGACACTACGACTGTAGCTGATAATCTGGGTCCCTGCTATATCATCGTCAGAGCCAGACCTACGAAAGCCATGTTTATCCATGAATATTGTTACTCACTCTTGCTTCAACATATGCAAAGTGAAAATATTGACTTGGATAAACTTTTGTTGTTTGCCAAGAGAGATGGAGTTTCAGATTTAGAAATTTTGGTATGTCTCCGAATACTATGATTATCTAATGGAAGCTCGAACTAACGTAACCGGTAAGCGAGCTGCGCAGCTGGAACACCATAGTAAATGCGAAAAATTACAACTCAGTATCTCGACAACGAATATATGAAATAACTTTTCCTTGAGATACAATGATTTTTCATGCCATGTTAAGCTAATTAAGGGTATTTAAGAATTATCATACCTTATCTAGGTGGTAAATACCAAAGATGTATAGATTGAGGATTGTAATTAACGTAATTTTTGGAATCAGGATAATGGAGCTTTTGAATTTCCTTGAAATCAATACATTATGTCGAGTAGTTTTATTGAAGACAGCCTATACATAATCAAATAAAAAAGACTCGTGGGTGATGAGATATGAAGTTGTAAATTATCGCATTTACTATGGTGTTCCAGCTGCGCAGCTGGCTTACATGCGCAGCTCGCTTACCGGTTACGTTAATGGAAATTTTGATCAGATCATCCATATCCACAATTCGATTTCAAGAAACAGCCCATAGTACCAAAGCCTATACGTTTCACAAGGGTTTCCCAAAGCCTTAAAGAAGCACTGGCTGTTTCTCAAGGAATATCTGGATATTCAACAGACTGTTTCATTGTGCCTGCCCATGGAGACAAGGATGCAAACTGCTACTTATCTTGCCACTGCCGATTATCTAACTCTTCGATATGCATCGCGATCAATGGCAAAGGTCTTTGATGTCCAATCTTTCTGGAAGTCAAGGTTCCACGGGGTGCATGATAGAGGCTTCCTCATCTATCTGACCAATAAGGAAGATAAAACTACAGACTGGCGGTTCATGTATCGCTGTACGGCGAATATTGATCTTAAGCTTAAAAGAAAATATCCCAAATATTCATGCACACATGAAAGCATCTGGAATTTCTGGATTCTGCGATCTCTATGGGAGAATGCATACTGGTTGGGACAGAGATACTCAATGACACAAGCCTCCTATGAGCAGATTACGCTCTATGATCATTTGCTTTCTGAACTATATTGGACGGAGTTTGATGCTGAATTATGTTGCATTAGGGAATCGCGCCAAGGAAAGGACAACGTTTTATATAAACGCCGCGGGGCTGAGCATGGTCCTATCATCCAAGCGATTCCATAAGAACATTCAGTTGTCAGCTTGGCAGTGTCCATTCTATATGCAGGTCCACAGACTATTATTACTGGGTTCGAGTTAGTGAGTGGAGAAAAGGACGTGGCAAACATAACCTTTGGATATCGCCTGCCAGGAGGGCAAGTGACATTCAGCCTTCGTGGTCAATTATTGAGGGGATTTTTAATTGTCAGTAGCCCTGAACAGATCCACGCATTGAGGCCAATCTTCTTCAACAATGATGTGAATTCTAGTTGGATAGGCCAACCAGAATTGTGTTTCGACAATCTATTTAAAAAGTCCTACTCTGAATTCAAAGCCTGGATCGAGCGTGAATCAACAGAGCTAGTTTTAGAGCGTGGAATTAAGGCCTTTTATGGAAAGTTTGATGTAAGTTGTTGATTCCTTGACATGATAGACAATATTAATATTTGAATAGTGTTGTAAGATGATCTGGTTATCCATAGGCTAGGTGAGCTCATCTGCTACGATATCTTCTTACCTGACATTGATCTAATATGTATGTGGCGGTCTCATAGATTGCTGAGAGAGGACTTTCTTGAAGACCCTTTCGGAATTTTGCCTTGTCAATCCACTGCCATATCGCAAGCTCTCAATATATGAGGCCTTTCAAAACTTGCTTTATCACATACGACCATAGGGTGTGGAGAACAGGGCTTCCCGTCCGCTCAGCCGTACTTAAGCCACATATATCCGCACGGCTAGTTCTTTATATAGCCTTAGCACTCTATAGCGGCGATGAAACTGATACTAGTTGAGTGTGGGTGATATGGGTGAGAGAGGTGAGAATGGGGTGAGATTTCTCACCTAGGCGGGTGATGGGGCCTAGCGTAGTATACCCCTTTGTTTTTTTTTTCTAAATGCAAATAATATGAATTAGTAGCCTGGGGCCTTCTCATCGGTCTGCTATAATTCCTCCTATCTACATAAGCTATATCAATGGGGAAAAAGATATATAGAAAGCCCTTGAGGTTACCATAAATAAGTGGACTCGGGGTGTCATCGTCCAGCTCTCCGTCAACCAGAAGCAGTAATTCAAGGCGCTTGGGCTATTACGTGAAAGTTCTCAATGTAGATGCCTTTTCGATGTTGAACAACAACGAGATGGATAGTTCTTGTCCCATGGAACTAACATTGCAATCTCATTTACTGATGTTAGTCTGTTCTGTACATTATGACGTTTACACTAGCCATATAGTTTCCGGAAGTGGTATGCTGAGTAACAAATAGTCGGGTAACTAACTTAAGGCAGTATGTTATGCTTTTGACATCTTTACGCAGATGACATTATAACTTTTTTCTAACATCTAGCATTCTACATTTCGCCTACGCTCTAGGCCATTTCTAGCATAGCGCGTTACGGTCTGATTCAGTATTCCACCAAATCGACAGAAAACAATTAGATGCGCTTCGTGGTCATCCACTCATATTTGTGATGTATTCCTAACCAAAGTAGTGTTTTTTTCCGCTAATAGAGCTCTCCTCATGCAGTCCAATAGCATCCTCCCGGTTTTCGATCTCCAGATGTCAAGTATGATACCCCAATGAAATCCCATCCCCCTCTCTGACGATCGTATTTATTGTGGACGTGAACATTCATGAACAATTCTAAGTAATAATCAGGGTCTCTGGTTTTATCGCCGTACTGAATTGTTATATAATCGGGGAGAGGGTTTCTAGATGGTTTTACTCTTATTTAATTGTGGCCCAAACTCAGTAAGATATGGTCTAAAAAGAAATGGTGCATCCAGCTTTTAGCCATCTTTAGAGACCACTCGTCACTTTGGAGGATCGAGTTCCATGCGTTCGGGTCAACTAATTTCTGAGCAGACAGAGTGTTAGAAGACAGATTAGAATACTGTCCAGAAGCTCCCTAAGAAGAATAGGGCCATTCTAAAAGGAAATAATGCTTTATTGATTGTTTTTATTGGCTGAGATATTTCAGTCTGACATAGTAAGCGGACTGTTTTCTGAAAAACTGCAGGAGATTCACGCACCGGCGTACCCCAGGGCCTCATTGTACGCTTGGGATGTTGCTTGTCCAAGTTGTTGTGTAAACGGAATCGGGCATCCGCCTAAGACTGGAAAACGCAACTCCAATGATGCTCAGCCGTGCAAGGCAGTATAAGATGCTTGTTGCGTAAACAATCGCAAGGTTGACTGGCTCTGTAAATAAGACTCTCTGGGGATATATATTTGTCCGAGCTTCGTCGCTGAGCCTTTTCGGCCCGGCTTTCATTTCGAGGATTTCCACGAGCCGTTTGAACTTCTTGTGAAAGTCATCCGGAACCACTGGAGGATTGCCGTCCCTTGAGGTCCCAGCCTTTTCGATAAAACCGAGGAGCTGCTTTCCAAGATTTTCTCCAAATATCTCTTGATAATGGGACTTGTCATTGTCAATCTTATCATAGACGTCTTCTAACTTCTTCATTGCAACCTGAACGGACTCCTTGTCGGTAACGTGCCAAGAATACTCCCTCATAACACTTAAACAGGTACGCATAAAGTCACGACTATCTCCCCATGGCCTGAGAATTTGGGAGAGAGGGATGGCGAGCAGGGCAAGCGGGGGTACTATTGTTGATACCAGAGTCGCAGTTCTCCAAAGCGTCCGCTCGGCGGAAGTCGGGAACTCGAAATTCCAAGCTATAGCGTGAAGGCTTCCAAATCCTGCCGTAAATATCGTCAATAAATATAGGGCATAATGTGTTGTTTGTGGAGCAACTTTTGGTATGTTGTCGTTTTGAATCCGATCTAGGGGATGGTCATCTTCCTTGATCCTCGAGTTGGTCAGGAGCTCCCACAAACTATCAAAAGTTCGTTGTTGAAAATTCGGTGGTAACTCTTTTCCAGGGAGTCGTAATTGGACTCGGATGGGTTTTCTCACGTCCTGTGGCTTATACCAGTAACATATGTAGGTCAGAACGCCGCAGATTGCGAATGCCAAAGTGAGTGTCTCGAGCTGGGAAAAGGCAAGATGTCGAGCTGCTCGAACCACAAGAGATAAAACCAACTGTGCTATCTGTATGACGGCTATGACCTTAGTGAAATAGTCTGTTTTGCTCTTATCATTAAGATCGTCTTCTGAGATTTTAGGGATTTCAATAGCTTCCCAGGAATCGGCGAAATGACGAGCAGTTAACAGATGCGTTTTGATACTGGAAGAAAAGCTGGCCTCTTCTAGAAGTTCAAAGCCCCCCATGTTGGCGAAGTAACAGTGTGTGAGTGTCCATTTGGTCTCTTGTCGCCTGAAGCCTCCACCGGTTGCACCTGGCTGGCTTCCACGGGCGGACTCCTCATCGTCGTGAGTTTTAGGCAGCCGTCGAGAAGAGCGAAACCACCAGGGAGGATGACCGTCAAGCCGTCCTGTTTCGTCCAATGATTTCATAACGTCCACTGCCATGACAAACTCCAGAATTGCGTGCGCCATGAGGATTTCAGGGAACAATATGGTAAAAACTACCCACTTGCACTTTCGTGGCAGGGTTTGCCGCAGAGTGTCGCATCGTTTTGGAACATTAAGATGTTGAATGCTCCATGTGCAGGCAAATATGGTTAAGAGAGAATTTTCGATGATAGTAAGTGTGCCACGGCGACTGGGGCTCGTTTGCCATTCAACGGCAGCATTATCGTCGGCCATGGGAAGAAAGTCTGATGCCGATATCGTGTTACTGGGTGGAGACACTCAACGGTGTTCTATTCGTGTGCTTGCAAATGCAACTGAGTTACGTTGCAATGGCGCTGTTATTAGCCCGCCCAGTAGTTCTCTGGTGAATTTAATCTCAAGAGTTAATGTGGTTCAATGCTTGCTTGATGAACAATGAACAACCTGTAATTACTGTCTGTTATTCTATCCCGAGATAATGGCGTTAGACACACATACAGTTGCTGCCTAAATCACATGATATAGGGGCCGCTTGTTGAACTACTAATCTGAAAAGTTACAGCGGTACACCACGTACTTTTCCGACAACCCCTACACCCCTGACTCCCGCCATCTGCTGCGCGCTACCATGCCTGTTGAACGGCTTGAGTATTTTAGCTACTCTGTCAGTTACTATGCCTGGCAGGGTAGTGGCTATTCTTAAGGTAGAGTGGTACTACTCTAAATACCAGGTAGTAGGAGTAAATAATTTTGGTATGGAGTTTTTAATAGCAGAAAAGTTGCAGAAAGGCCTCTGCAAAGTGGGGGTCGGAAATTATAGGTATCACTGTACAATAGGCAAATACGAAGGCAATGCGGGCTCATGCGTGTTGTCAAGCTTGTGCAAAACAGTATAGACTAGTATGCATAGAGTGGGCTAATACGAGGGGGAACCAATCAAATGGGATTGACCAGATGGAATTGATTGAGAAAAGACATCAAAAGAATGGGGGATCAGAGGATATGTTACATATTACATATATACCTCTGTATGTCGGTGAGACTGGCTCCTGCGGAATGATAGACGCCACGGCGCCCGAGGGTCGCTCCTCAGAAGTGCCCAGAGGGCCTAACGTACATACAAAATAGGCCTCAGCGTCAAGTCATGTGAGTATACCAACTCCATTTAGTGATATTGGACATCACACTGTTCTCGACACGTGTTAACGCGTCAAGCCGGAACGCCACCTCTACATGCCAACGTGGCAACTAAGCCCCTTTTAAAAGTCCGTCGGAAATTTAATAACTAAGGCATTTTTGCGTCCTTAAGACTCAATTTAGATTGACATCAACCTGGACTCCTCAGCATACTTTCGGCCACGACGACGTTCTTTATATATTGCCGTTAAGATTGATGGGTCGACATGTTTGGAATATTCAGAACTAAGTCGGAAAAGAAGACCGCTTTACACGAGGCTGCCGCCAAAGGGGACAACGACCAGGTGAATGGCCTTCTTAGGGATGGAGCCAATATCAACTTCATAGATCGTGATGGCAGGACGGCGTTGCACTGGGCTACGATCAATGAGTACCCAAAGGTGGCGGAAACCCTACTTAGCCATCCAACTATCGACGTCAATATACGAGATAAGATGGGGAAAACACCACTGCATTACGCCGCAAGACACAAAGACAAGCGAACTGTGGAAACCTTGCTAAAAGAAAACAACAAAATAAAGGTTAGCGTGTGCAGTAGAGACGGCCGGACTGCTCTGCATGAAGCGGTAGAGAGAGGTCATCATGAGGTGGTAGAGGAGCTATGCTTGAACGCCGACGCCGTCTCCTTTCCTGACTCTCGCGGACGAACGCCCCTTCACTGGGCAGCAGAGTATGGGAATGAAGAGGTGGTGAAAGCACTTATTGAGAAGCAAGTCGAGGTTGACTCCAAAGATCATGATGGTCAGACGGCGCTACATAGGGCAGCTTGGAACGGCCACAAGACTATAATTCGGAAGCTTGTTGACAAGCAAGCCGATGTTTTAGCGACAAATGAGAAAGGTGAGACGGCATTGCACTTAGCGGCAGAGAATGGCCACCCAGGGGCAGCGATGGTTCTGCTCAATAATAGTAAACTGGAACATGAGCACGAAGAAAAGGTGCAGCTACTAATACGAAAATATCCTGCCGTCTCCAATGAGGTCGAACTACTGTGGTGGGCTACAGAGAAGGGGCATGAGGCAGTTATGAAGCTGCTGCTTAAGACCGGCAAGGTGGACGTGGACTCGAAGGACAAATATGGTCGGACACCACTCTCACGGGCCGCAGCAAACGGGCATGAGGCAGTTGTGGAGCTGCTGCTCGAGACTGGCAAGGTGGACGTGGTCTCGGAGGACGAAGATGGTCAGACACCACTCTCACGTGCTGCAGCAAACGGGCATGAGGCAGTTGTGAAGCTGCTGCTTGAGACTGGCGAGGTAGACGTGGGCTCGAAGGACAAATATGGTCGGACATCACTCTCATGGGCTGCAGCAAACGGGCATGAGGCAGTTGTGAAGCTACTGCTTGAGATAGGCAAGATGGACGTGGACTCGAAGGACAAATATGGTCGGACATCACTCTCACGGGCCGCAGAAAACGGGCATGAGGCAGTTATGAAGCTACTACTTGAGACAGGCAAGGTGGACGTGGACTCGAAGGACAAATATGGTCGGACATCACTCTCACGGTCCGCAGAAAACGGGCATGAGGTAGTTATGAAGCTGCTACTCGAGACTGGCAAGGTGGACGTGGACTCGGAGGACAAATATGATCAGACACCACTCTCATGGGCTGCAGCAAAGGGGCATGAGGCAGTTGTGAAGCTACTGCTTGAGACTGGCGAGGTGGACGTGGTCTCGGAGGACGAAGATAGTCAGACGCCACTCTCATGGGCCGCAGAAAACGGGCATGAGGCAGTTGTGGAGCTGCTGCTTAAGACTAGCAAGGTAGACGTGGACTGGAAGGACGAAAACGGTCAGACACCACTTTCACGGGCCACAGAAAACGGACATGACGCAGTTGTGAAGCTACTACTTGAGACAGGCAAGGTGGACGTGGACTGGAAAGATGAAAATGGTCAGACACCACTCGCACGTGCAGCAGCAAAGGGGCATCAGGCAGTTGTGAAGCTGCTGCTTGAGACAGGCAAGGTAGACGTGGACTGGAAGGACGAAAACGGTCAGACACCACTCTCACGGGCCACAGAAAACGGGCATGAGGCAGTTGTGAAGCTACTACTTAAGACCGGCAAGGTGGACGTGGACTCGAAGGACAAATATGATCAGACACCACTCTCACGGGCTGCAGCAAACGGGCATAACGTGGTTATGAAGCTGCTGCTTGAGACAGGCAAGGTGGACGTGGACTCGAAAGGGGAAAGTGGTCGAACACCACTCTCACGGGCTGCAGCAAACGGGCATAACGTGGTTATGAAGCTGCTGCTTGAGACTGGCAAGGCGGACGTGGACTGGAAGGACGAATATGGTCGGACACCACTCTCACGGGCCGCAGGAAATGGGCATGAGGCAGTTGTGGAGCTGCTGCTTGAGACTGGCAAGGTGGACGTGGTCTCGGAGGACGAAGATGGTCAGACACCACTCTCACGTGCTGCAGAATACGGGCATGAGGCAGTTGTGAAGCTGCTGCTTGAGACTGGCGAGGTAGACGTGGACTCGAAGGACAAATATGGTCGGACATCACTCTCATGGGCTGCAGTAAACGGGCATGAGGCAGTTGTGAAGCTGCTGCTTGAGACAGGCAAGGTGGACGTGGACTCGAAGGACGAAGATGGTCGGACATCACTCTCATGGGCTGCAGTAAACGGGCATGAGGCAGTTGTGAAGCTACTGCTTGAGACTGGCAAGGTGGACGTGGACTCGAAGGACGAAGATGGTCGGACACCACTCTCATGGGCTGCAGCAAACGGGCATGAGGCAGTTATGAAGCTGCTGCTTGTGACTGGCAAGGTGGACGTGGACTCGAAGGACGAATTTGGTCGGACACCACTCTCATGTGCTGCAGAATACGGGCATGAGGCAGTTGTGAAGCTGCTGCTTGAGACTGGCGAGGTAGACGTGGACTCGAAAGGGGAAAGTGATCGGACACCACTCTCATGGGCTGCAGCAAAAGGGCATGAGGCAGTTGTGAAGCTGCTGCTCGAGACTGGCAAGGTGGACGTGCACTCGAAGGACGAAAATGGTCGTACACCACTCGCATGGGCTGAAGCATACGGGCATGAGGCAGTTGTGAAGCAGCTCAAAGGTGTGCATATAATACAGCTTCGGTCTGGTTATAGTTCTTGAACCAAATTTTGGTTGCATGCATCATTGCTGTTATATTCTCTAATCCCATTTCAAAGGAGGGCCTGGGATGGCTGGTAAGTCTGTAGTGCCACGTATTGCCAGCAGAATCTCTAAGATGAATGCGTATGTAGTTTCAGTGGCGATCTAGTGCCGCTGATCGCCGGCTCAAATTTTATTTCAAAGTGTATCTACTGTAGGGTCTGGCTCCATACTTCAATCGTATTCGACCTATCTTTAAGTTATATTTTAGAAGAGTAGGGTAGGGACGGATACTACAGTGAGACTTAGACACATTTCGTCGAACCTCTCTTTCAATTGAGTCCCCAATTTTTTCGTGCCCTCTCTCTCAGGTGGGCAGGCTGCCTAGACAAGGATACGGGTAATGCGAAAATAAGTGACGATGCTCTGAAAGAGGAAATGAGCTTCATTTACTTATCCTCAACACAAGAAAGAGAATGTGAGAGATTTTGTCTCAAGTTGTCTCTCGCAAAGGGAGCGGGGGACCAAACCGCTTTTAAGCCTAAAGGGCATAAACTTGATTTTCGACTTATCTATGTGATAATATCAGAAGTCATAAAGTATATAGTTCCTACTTTGCACAAAACACGAACTCCTTGCAAAGTGGCCTACATAATATGAAGCGTCGCGGTCTCCTTATTGGTTGATCTGCCGCGTCTTCACCCTATTGAAGCTAAGAGAGGATCAGTAATGCCAATTATGACGACGTAAGAACTATCCACTGGCGATGAAAGATGGCGACCCAATCCAACAGGCCTGATCTGCGTTACAAGAAATAGTCGCCAAGGAACCCGACAACCAACAGTTATATTTATTTGCTCTATCATCTGATCATAATACGCACGGCCCATCTTGAGATCTACCTGAATATGAGACAGGATTCTCAGTAGCTTGCATGATCCTGTTGAGATAAGTGATTGTCTAATTGATTCTGGTTAACTTGTTTACAGAAGAGGGGTAGCCCGTCTTTATATCTCCGACCCTGATCTACTCCATAAGCTTAGCCGCCGTGATATTCAACACTATCATACCGTATATTGATCATGAGTTTATCACACTTCTTTGTGCCGCTTCACCAGCTGAGGGGCACTGGCCCCCTCTAAGCGCCTGGCTGGGTCTATCCTGGTATTGTCCACGATTTTCCTTCCATTTCTAAGCGCTTAACAGTCCAATTTCTTATCTCTCCGGCCGCTCCTGCCTTTCTTCTCCTACCTCATAAAGACCTCACCAAAATCAATCTAGAAAGCAAGGTTGATAACAAAGAATGAAAAACGATGAAGACAAAATGGAGGGAGGCCGAGTATCCCTCAAGCGAAGCAGTGCGCTCTCCTTCCATTCACTAGCACAAATTGAGCGCACAATCTCAAAGCGCTGTGAGCCATACTGACATTTCTTTGCCGACCAGGAATGGATTTCGAAGACGATGAGTCGACAGATGATGGCTCTGAATACAATGGATTTGATAACTCCGAGCAAGAAGAATGGTGGAGGGAAGATAAGAGCGAAGATTTGGATTTTGAAGAAGACATTGAGGAGCATGAGTATACCACCTCCGGTAACACGGCACGAGCGGTGAAGATTCGGCTCTTTTTGACCGATGAGGAAATGAGCGACTTCGAGTGGATGAAAAACTTTGTCGCCGAATGCACTTGTGATGGCGTCGTTGTCGCCACCGCTCTAGCCCGGTATATTTATCGAGAGGGCATGCGCTCTGAACTCTGGGAAAGGATGGAAGAACCCAGCAAGGAAACGTGCGATGTGGCCTTCCATGTCTTTGATCGATATGGAACAGTCAAGACCAAGTATAAGGACCATCCGGTGCAAAGAGGAACTGGTGTAGGGAAAACGAGCTTGATCATGGCCCTCTTTTCTATGCTCCCCAATTAGCTACGTCTTTCTTGAGATAGACCACGGTTCTTCCTCCTCAAACTATGCTGCGTACCCCTGCCTTTCTGACGAAAGGCCACGGTTTTCCGCCCTCAAAGTGCTTCTACAGTAAAACATTTGCTGGATAGATCACGATCCCCGTATGCTGAAATTTGTAGTTCCATTTCGCAAATTCAATAATTGAGCGCAGGGGGTCCGAGAAAGTAAGTCAGCTCTTCCAGTCGTCGCTTCATAGTTTATGCTCATGTCGAATAGCCCTGTCTGTTCAGTGCCATTCAGGAGCAAGATATCACAACTCCCCTTTGATCATCATCCATGGCAAGATACAAACCCGTCTTTCCGTTCTTCTGCTTGGTCGCTTGAGTTCTATAACCCATCAAGGATATACCGACAAACGAACACCCCCGGGGTCCGTATACTCAGTACTAAGATAAGCCCAGTATTATTTGCTGTCCCATACTTTGGTGCAGTAGATCCGGAAGGACCTCATCAGTACATACGCATCACCTGGGCACTCAGATAACCTGAGTAAGGTGTTTCTTGCAATATACTATACAGTCCACCTTCCTAGAAATCACAGTACATACGACCACAGGGTGTGGAGAACAGGGCTTCCCGTCCGCTCAGCCGTACTTAAGCCACACGCCGGTTAGTTAGTAGTATGGTGGGTGACCACATGCGAATCCTAACTGTTGTATGTTTTTATTGCTTATTTTTTTTTGTTTATCGTTGATTTATTCGGATACTTTCTTTGACTTGCCGCTCTAGCCTTCAGCCCCTTTGGGCGCTTCACCTGAATGCCCGGAACACCACTATTTTGCACCTGAGTATCGTGTCCACGCCCGCAGCGCTGACGTGTACTTCCTCTTTATATGCTGAGATCTTTCCTCTAGCTATGTTGTCATGAAGTATGATCTAGTCTTGGTCGAGAATTTCTAGAATGGGGACACTACTTTAACAACAAAATCCTAACTTAAATCGATATCTTGAAGGAATCTACTCTCGATAATCCGTAGCTTATAAGGTCTACTAGAGCTAATACTCCTGTTCACGAGGACGAAGAAAGCACATAGACATTCTGGGATGAAACGGCGGTTGACGCTAAGAATTTACTATGGGTAAGTAGTGGCTGCGCTACTACTTTAAGGAAGACTAATAGTGACCGATGATTCAAGATATTAGAAACTTGCCTAGGTCCTTTCGTGTTACGCCTATCAATCATCAGGGAGCGTCTCTTTTACTAGTCCATTTGCATATAGGCTTCAATCCAGATACCTTCACGGTTTTTTCCACTTTCCACTTTCACTTTTACTTCCAATTTCGCTTTGGTGTTTCAGGGCTGATGCGCGCGACGTGCGCGTCTTCCAGTAAAATAATACAGCCTTCACTGATAGGGTACTCTGTAAGAACTACCAATTTAGTCAAGTCCATCTTGGCAGTTAGAGGTTGACAATGGATCAAAGAGTGTAGGTGGTGACACCAGTTCCGGGAACCACTGTATTGGACTAGAATATGGGGAGTATTCATGAGCTTCTCTGGAACTTCCCGAAACGCTTGCCAAGGTTACCTAGCTACTTTTGTTTAACACGACAGACCAATCTTGGCGGCTTGCCCACTCTTTCCAACTCGTCATCGGGCAGTCGATACCAGTCTGTCACCTTCTGTTAGAGTGGGCCATTATGGTTTTAAGGACACAGGTTAACTTGCCTTACGAATGTCCGCCGCAGTGAGAAGATTTCTACCTCCATCGTACCCTGGGTCCGTACTATAAGAGAACATGTACGCTACCTCGATGCCACAGTCTCGATCGGGCGTCATTTCAATCATCTCGTCAGGAGTAATTTGTCGATAAGAAGCTGGCACGCCAGTTATGTCGCTCCAGGTCTTGATCCAATCGGCCCAACTACATGACGTCCCTTCAGCCATGTACTCTTTCCCGGGCGGCATTTGGTAGACAGCGAAGGTAAAAGTGCCCATATCCCCGACAGGGTCTAGGTGTGGCACAACCCTGTCTGGGGCTGTGGTGAAGCTCATTTCAATACAATCATTCGGGAGCTTGACGATCATTAGTCAAACTCTTCATTTAGGGGGCATTACTTGCCTTGCGAAAATACGAGCCAGGTAAGATGTTAAAACTTGTATAGAAGTAACCGGTCTGGATGCAGGACATCTTGGCCGCAAGGTCAGGGTACCTTTCTTTAACGTAGAAGGGGAAGATATCCGCTTTGGAGTCGAAATGGTACAATTCTTTGAATTTCCCCTGGCTAGACTTGGCGGCATGGCTTAGCGTGGACACTAAGAAACCATTGGAGTCGAGAGAATCACACGTCGCTGCTGCTGCGTCGGCAATATTTTTGCCTTGCTGATATTCGACATCGTACGCGAACCGAGCAGGTGAGATGCCCAACCCACTGGCCTTCTGGCGGCAGTCCGGGCGAAAGAACGCCTCCCAGTAGTTTGTAACACTGAATATGACATTAGCATCCTTTAGAGCCGGCTTAAGGGTCTCCAAGTCGTCAAGGTCTGCTTTCATAACTTCAATGCCATCAGTCGCAAGCTTTTGTGCTGCGGGGGACGATGTGTCGCGGGTCAAGCCACGGACACGGAAACCCGCCTTAAGAAACCGACGAGCAACAGACCCGCCTTGGTTTCCCGTGGCTCCTATGACACAGATGATCTTTTTCTCCGCCATGGTAAATCTTAGCTTCTCCAGGCCAAACACAGATAAGCTCGTAGCACTATCTGTCGGATCTAGGTGGAGGATTGATCGGCTACTAGTTACCTAATTAGTAATTTGTGGATGGGGTCAAAAGTACAAGATAGAAGAAGTCTGACATTATAGGGATACAGTAACTATCAGAGATTAGAGACCTCTAGTGTATGCTGCAAGATCACGGGTTTCCACACCGACTTTTCTAGGTTTAACGTTCTTCCCGTTTCCATGCATATCTATGCTTATCGTATCCTAGCAAGACGTACTTAGCCGAATTGTTATTACTGTGGGAATATAAATGTACATATATCAACTAGACCAAGCTTCGGGGTTCTCTGCCCTATCCAGCCCTTCATCCCCAATCGCTTTACAAATCTCCTCTCCCTCTTGACGCCATTCCTCCTCCCGGAACTCTTCCGTCCCCCAACCAAAGTCCTCGGTCAGAACCCGCCTCACTTCAATCTGCTCCCACGACCCAGGTAGGTGAATATAGCCAATTTCTCCACCGGGAAAATACACAACCTCTAAATTCCGAATGTCATCGATGACGTTCTGGAGATAGGTGGGAGCATTATGAGCCACACTTTCTTCCCGAAAGTCATTTTCCGGTGGCTCAGATTCATCAATGATTCGAATGATGTCTAGGTCATTTTAATCCCATTATTGGTACTGAAGCGCCAAGGGGGAAGGAGAAGGGATGTGGAGGAAGGAAGTAAAATGTACCTGACTTAGTGTCCAAAATGACTGAGATCCCATCATCCAACCAACAGGTCAACGCAACCTCGCACGGTTGCAAAAAGTCCATTCTTAGCTCGTCGTCAGCGACTGCGCCTGTTAATCCAGGATCACGTCCATTCCGGATCTCTTCATCGAGAAGGTACTCGTATGCGCGTGATTGCCACATAATCGGCTTATGGTAGCCGTCCACCACATAGGGGATTTTTTTCATGAGGGATATCACCTCCGGGGCGAGATGCAGCGAATGACATAGCTCTTCGTTGATGATGTGGCCACCTTCTGGAGGAAAAGTGACACGATCGGGGGGGGGAGGTAGCTTAGCCTAAGAAGCAGGTTATAAATGGTGGTAATTTGGGTGATTATTGTTTTTTCATTGTATGAAGGTACGGAAGACATGGGATTGGTATGGCGAAACCAGATATAGGCCAGAGTAAACAGGAGGGAGACAATCCAGGCTTTCTGTTGCATTGCAAATGCCGTGAAATGGAAATCCTTCAGCTTTTTCGATTTTTTTACTTATTTAAAGGGAAAAGCGAGGAGGTGGATTTTGGCGACGATGAGCCATGGAAATTGCTTATCCCTGTGGATCCTGTCCAGGTTCCACCAATCCCATCCTTGGATCCATGCCAACAGTCGCGGAATTCAAGCTCAGTTATCCAGATCTTCATAAAAGGCTTGAACTTTGCTTCCGTGGTTCAAGTCGAAATGTGATTCATAAAATATCAACACTCTCCAGCTGATTCTTCTTCTCCTCCTCCTCCTCCTCCTCCTCCTCCATTCCATGAGAAAATTGTGAGGCCGGTAAGCATCAACTAACCAGAAAGAGAATCCAAATGTTATTTGAAATTGGAAACTGAGGACGACTGCCACCGTTTGCTTGAAATAAGCAAAAATTTGATCCCAAGAAACTGCACACTCAGGACGCAGGAAGATCAAGCAAAAAAGCAATGATTTTCATGGTCTCACTGTCGCTTTGTCTCTCTCGCTATAAGAGTATTTTGTCGAGCGCCAACATTAGAGATACGCCTTGAACCCCTGGATTGTGATCATTTTGATGAGAGACCCATTGAGAAGCTGTGCTTCAATATCGAACAGTAGTCTCTGTGAAACTTTGTCTAGCGTAAGATCTATGCAATTATTCATGTAGTAAATGATGACAAAATGGATCCAGAAGGGGTGCAGCCACATGCGTCTTTACTCAGAAGCAGTCGCGAATAATTTTATGGTATTGAAAATCGTCCCGTCTCATGCTGGCACAAATCCTGGGACGCTGGAGCCTCTCAGGAAGCAAGCATATGGCGCGTTTCTTCTCAAAATCATAGCGATAGTACACAATGCTTGGTCTTCGTTCAAACAAACTTGAAGGTCCAATGGTGTTCAAAGCTGGTTGAAAATATCTGCATCATGGTTGATTTGAGCTTCCAGCGCTGTTTCGAATATCTTGAGAAAATAAGTGAGCTGAACCGAATGTCGTCTTCGGAAGCCTTACTTGTAAAACCGCGAGCCTCCTTCAGGTCTTTTTGTTGTGCAATTTATCTATACATCTCGGCTAGCCAGACAAATCTAGTTCCGGTGCAACACAACATTGGATTGGTCGCGGCATTGTGTCACACCCGTGCCTTGACCTAAAGGCCTGATGAGTTTCCATGCATGACATGGATTGAAAGTAGCAGACTAGATTTCTACCTTTTCGCCGTGCTTTTGGCATAATGTTATTTTGGTTAAGGGTGACCCTAAATCTTAAGTATTAGTCTATACCATCAATCTATGCTTGATCATCTATAAATGTTGGTAATGGCGCCATGTTTAATTCCCATCCACCGCATGTTGGCCCTGTTTCAACGGTAGCCATATCTCTTCCTTCCTTTCATCTGTGTCATCTAGTTCAAGCACTGTAATAAGCTGACAGATAAGAGCCGAAGCCGCAAATCTCGCAAAAACCCCTAACGCATCAAGAGTCCCGATAAAAAGCACCGCCGAGAGGATCACAGTACCACACGTGACGTGCCCAGCACCAAAGATGTTCGCTAATGAATCCAAGAGAACAACTTGCTTATCCTGTTTCTGCTTCCCTGCGCTTCTTCTCGCTACAATAATACTTGCAATTGAGAACCCAAGCGGTACAAGAGCCAGAAAAATCCATGCAATTTCGAGATACGACCAAGTACACTTCCAGCTCAGGATAGTTTGTCGGCCCAACATGATAGCATTCTGGAGGACATTCGCCGCCGCCGCCGCCGCAAAGAGGTATTTCATTGTGACTATTGCAGCGGAAGTGACATCATTGGGGCGGGTAATCCTACTTCCAAAGGCACGAACCGGCATCTTGGTCATTTTTGTCCACGGCCTCGAAAATGGACTTGAAGGTGCCCCAAGAGCGCATAGGAATCCAAGAGCTGGACTTTCCCAGCTCATTCTAGCTTTTTCTTCGAGAGTAGGGCTAAGTCCGCCTAAGATGGTAGGCGTCAAGCCGAGTATGACAATTGCAGAGGACCAGTCTGCTTCGTTGACCGCGCCGGCGTTGTCCATAAGACAATCGACCATATTCTTGCATGTTCCTGAGTCTTGCTCTCCATATAGAGTGATATTGTGGTTATAACTGGCATAGCATTGGTGATTAACCGCACCGTGCGTGAGGGTGCCAATGTAAAACGGATACCAGTCTTTGAACTGTGCGGCGTGGGCGGTGGTTTGGTGCAGAGTCATTAGACTCACCCAAGATAACACTAAATAACTTATTAATGATCCTAATCTTCGATGTTTTGTACTCAGGATTCACACCTTTGCTTCCTCTCATGTTGGGTCTTTTTTGGGAGTTTTATGCATCGGAAATTGATATTTTGCAGCGACAGCAATATGTGGAGGTCAAATCCGGTTTGCTAATTTCAAAATTAGCTCTCGAGAGAAAAGAAATATTCGCTAGAGGGATTCAGAACCTATATGATGCCACCCCCACGCTAATTATAGTACCCAACCTCGCAAATTTCTCGGCGCTAGATAAGCTAGTAAGCAGGGTGCTTACTGGATATTGTTGGTCAGCCAGTAGTCTCCGCCCAGAACCACTCGCATTTCCTAATACCCAGGCATTCCCCACCAACTTCAATACAATGATTTCCTTCAGCATGTTCGCCCCAATTGATACGTAGAAGTGTTCACAGGCGGCCCCGTGGCATGGAAATGGAATGGGGTTACTTTAAGCTGGAATGGGCTGCACCGACGATCAACCAATAACCGTTGTCCTGTAAGAATTGCCGCCCTGAGATCTCAGACTTAAAGCGAAGGCGTCAGCTTAGATTTGAAAATTGGGGGCTAGTTTCGGCATGTACCAGTAGAATGAGCTTCTAAATTTTTCATATGCCCAATTGCTTTACTCATCACTCCTGGCTGGGGCAATGCGAAATACCCAATGGGGACCGTAAGTATTTCCCCAAGTGCGGGTCCGGTAGGGTCAAGCCAACAAACAACTTTTGGGAAGGCATGTACCACTCATTATTAAAAATGGGTCGCTTCAAAAAACTCTTAATTTAATCCATGACTACAGAAAAGTATTCCGAGAAGATAATTCGAAGATCCATATAGCTTTGGTGACGGTAGAGCGGTTCAAAACTTAATGTGTATATGATTACAGTATCTATATGTTGTTAAAACAAGAGCTTCTTAGACTGTAACTAGAGCTTATATATAGAGGAAGATATAAATTTATTTAATAGTACCTTCAGGGGTATATAGCAGAATTATGGTGAGTAATAACATACTTGAAATTGATGGGGTAGGCCCGAAGACTGATTTGGGGAAATACTTTTGACTAGATAGTGTACACACCCAGTGACTTCGCCCCAACGCTGCCAGAACATGATTGTGGATACTTAAGCTACCATAGTAGGGAGATAATCGCTTGTTCATTATACGCAGCCCAGTCAGCACAGGAAGCTACTTCCACCTGCAAACATTTACAGATATCTCCGTGAGGAATGTATAAGTGGATATCGCATTATTAGCTTCGAACCCGCGGTGGGCTTAATTGGTGCATGTCCGGGCTATAGGTCATCAGAGTTGTACCAGAAAACTCTTGCCGGGTCAATAAATATTACAAATCAGTAAAAGAGCTTTGATCTACTTGATAGCCGCGACCATGGCGTGCGGCTCTTATCCAATGAGGGTAGGTCCAGCCTAGTAGACTACTTAGCTATGATGATGCAGCGGCACAGCTCTCGCCAGTGTAGACGTCCCAGTTCGCCATATCGAAAATGATATCTGTTCTACCAATTCTTCCAACCTTAAGTAAATCTCCCATATCTGCACCTAGGGGACGAAATCGAGCCTACAACGCTGACGCTTTTCATTCCTGGCCTCCTACAGCATCATCTTTAGCTCTAACCTTTCTAATATTTGGCAAAGGATTTGGCGTTGAACATTGTTTAATATCACCCTTACGTGCTTATTATGTGCTCATGGCATTAGGTGACGGCTTTAGACATAATGGACAATTACCTCGGTAGAACATGAATCAAGTCATGATATTGTTCTACATAAACTCCTTGTAACCAATCACGACCAGTATATATTTACAGGTGAGACTGAGCTTCCTCAGGCTCACCAATCAGTCGCAAAAAGCTCCCATGCACCTGATCAGTAAGATCACTGGCCTGCATACTCCGCCCTTTCTCTTCGAAAGCCTTCCGCGACGATTCCCTTGTAATGCTACTACCTGCCCACGCAGCCAGAAGCAAGGTAGTACCGGGAGACATGCGTGCGTCAGACTCCAGCTCAGCCTGCACCTCCGCTCTGCTCTGCGCCTCCTTCTCATTCTCTTTCTCGCCCGAGTCCCACAACTTATCGTGATATGCCGCTCGCCAGGCAAGCATCGTGCCCAGAGATCCGGTAAGTGTATCTCCCTGGCCGCCACTGCGCTTCAGTCCACCCTTGATGTCATTGATGATACTGGTAGTTCCATTGGAGATCACATCGCGAGGACCTTTCTGCACAATCGTAACGCCCCCCAGTGCGTTGGAAAGCTCCTGGCATGCATCGGACACTTTGCTTGTCTTGTCGCCTCCTTCTTTCTCGACGTCAGCCTGGCTGGGAACCTTGATCCCCAGTGCCTTCGCCAGACGCCCGAACTCAACAACGTTTGGGGTGAGAATGCATTCTTTGTATCCCTTGACGAGGCTGGGGTCCTCTGTCACGATTAGTAGCCCGTCTGCGTCGAGCACGAACGGGATAGACCGTGAGCGTGCTGCTTTGATTACCTCGGCGACTACCTTCAGGGTGACGCCATCGCGGCCAAGTCCGGGGCCGATAACGAGGGCGTGTAGGCGGGAAAGCATGTCGATCATGGGGCCTGCGAGGGCTGGTGCATCGATTGACTTGGGGTTCTTGACTGTGTCTGTGCTGGGAAGCAATGGGTGTACCATTAGGTTCGGCGAATATGCCTTGATGACCTGATAGCTGGTGTGAGTTACTGTATACTAATTTGCGCAGGTGGGACCATACCGGAGCTGCGGAGCGTTCACAGAGAACATGGCTCTGGAAGATGTTAGTTGTGGCTCATTGCTTATGTCGAATATTCATACCATGTCACATCCTGGTATTGGTTAGCTGATTGGGCTACTGGGCCTCTTTGAGCAGTGACCGAGTGACATACCTAGCTTGGCCGATGCGATGGCCGAGAAGTATGGTGCACCAGTATAACTGTTTCGCGGTTAGCCCGGACGGAGAATCCTGGTATCGAGCGACTTACTCGGCACAACCGCCAATGACTGCCACACGACCGAGTTGTCCTACTTGAGCATTAGCATGATTGCTCGAGATCAAGGTGTACGGTGGGGAAACGACTAGGATTCCGTGGGGAACATACCTTTGTGGAACTTCTCCAACATCGGCGGTATGATGTTGCGGACCTTTCTGAAGAGGACCTTCGATGAGGTCGTGACATGATGAACTGGCTCCATGTTAGATACAAGCTTGTGAAGAGAGAAAGATTCGATGTAGAGACAGTGGTCAGAAGAAGAATAAGTGTTCGGATGATGTCACCCCAGGTGGGGCTTGCAGAACGTCAAGCTTGTGTAAACCACGGACAAGAAATGCAACGCACTTTCAAGTTTTCGATAGTAGGCAACACGCTGCCGTTTTGATTCGAGTGTCCGACTGTCAATATTGTCATCATCGAGGTAAGTATAACGGGATGAAAGGATATCGGATGTTGTAGAAGTTGATATGTGGTGGTCAAAAGTGTCTAAAACCCACTTTTGAAGCAACAGATTGGACCATTTCGGATGGAGTTTCCGTTGTTTCCGGAGCTTGCTTCTGGCTGTTCAAGAGCTTTGCGCCCCATTGTGTAATTGGACGAAACATTTGATTAAATGAGTTTATTCAAGGGAGGAAAAGATGTAACGAATTTTTCGCTATATGCTAACTAATTCGCTGTCAACTTAGTGGAACCCAGGAATCCATCCGTTATAACCAGGTATTCGTTACAGACGGGGTCTGTCAAAACTGGGTCTGTACTGGAAGAGCGTAGTTTGCACCTCACGAAATAATGAACCGAAAGATAAATCAGAGTGGTATTGCTTGTACGCCCGCTATGGATGGTGCTCAGAAGACTATGGAAATCTAGTATCAACACCTCGTAACGCTCAGAATGCTCCGCAAAAAGACCCCCCAGACAAAGGAAATAAAGAGACAAATGAAACAATGATGAGATCAAAGGGTTTGGAAGCCCGTAAGTTGTGAGTTTATCGCTTGCGAGATGCAAGGGCGGCGAGTTTCTGCTGGCGTGCCAATTTCTCCTTCTTAGCGGCCATCTCCAAGCGCAGCTCTTCCTCGTCCTCCTTGCGAGCATTCTTCAAGGCAGCGCCTTCTTCAAGCTCGACATCGTCAAAGCCAGCCTCCATGTCCGAAGATGCGTCAGAGTAGTAGTCGTCATAACCACCGTAGTCACCTTCGTCCTCCTCGTCGGTTCCCATGTACTCGTTCATGCGACGCTTGCCATGCTGGCGACGGTCATTAGTGCCAGGCTTTCCAGGGAGACGTGCGGTTCCCTGGTAAGTCGGCGGCTCGGGAGTCCGGGCTGGCTTGGCAGTGCCTTTGTAAGAAGGAACTTCGGGAGATTGCTTAGCGGAATCGGGGGATCGCTTGTGGCCATTTCGGGCGATAGCTGGTTCAAACTTCTTTCCCTTCGACTCCATTTTCGCTCGCATCTTGGCTTCTTGCAAGCGGCGTCGCAATTCATGGCGGCCAAGGTGCTCGCGAGGAGCGGTCTGATGTTGAAGCAAACCAACCTTTTGGGGGGCCTGTTCCTGTCGAGCTTTGGCGATCGCCATTAGGTCGGCATACGAACCTTTCGGTGGGGCCTTGGCGGGGGGAGCAGCCACAGCAGTCTTGGATGGAACGGATTTGGTTGACACAGGCTTGGTGGGAGCTGTCTTCTTGACGCCGACGGTGCTGTTCTTGGGGACAGGCTTGGTAGCAGAAATCGGTTTCGGCGCAGTCTTCGATGTTGCAGATGAAGCCCCAGGTTTGGCTCCAGACTTGGTAGAGACTGAACCCTCGGGGCGAACAGGACGAGGCAGCTGGTCCTCCGCCTTGCGCTTGGTTCCTGCATTCATGGTCGAAACATGTTGGGGGAACGAGCCAAGTTTCCGATCATCGCGCTTGGGGGAAGATATCTTGGGGGGAGATGGGGGTTGAGAAACCGGAAGCTTGGTGGGCTTGCCGGTTTCGAGCGAGGTGAGAACCGAGTCGAGGAACTATGCCATGTGTCAGATAAGAACATGCGAATTACATAGAAAACTTGAACATACACTCATCTTGTAAATTTGAAATGCGAAAAGAGGGGAGTCCGTGTTGGACAGTTTGCAAGTATGAAAAAAAGCAAAGAAAGAGTTTGTCACCGATTTATGTTTAGTTCGAAGTATGAAGCTTCATGACTCCGAACGCGAGACCATGAAAATGGAGCTCCGTCCGGAGAGAGAGAAGATGCGCAACTTGATGAAAAACACGGGTGATAAGGGAGACAGAAGATTCGGTGAGGAAGGCGAAGTCGAGCCACTCAGAAGGGTTCCGAGGGCTTCTATGGACGTGGAATCGCAGTGAATATAGCGGGGGGAAGTTGGCCACGCTTGATCCATGATTCACTTCAACTTGGCCCGAACGGGATATCCCACGTGACGTTTGCGCCACACTCGCTTAGTCTTTTTTCTGCCGGGCGGTAACACCGCCACAGAGAGCCGCAACGCACTTTTTCCCACGATTTCCGTGCGCTCGATCTTGATCCTCAACCAACTCCTCCCGAACTCGACGTTGCAGTCTCCGCCCAAACTTGCGGTTAAATCGATTGTTTCTCTTGTTCTAAAAGAAAACGTGAGTCTCCAGAAATGCTCTTCTCGAATTCTACGCGACAGTTTTTTTTCCCCTGTTGGCACAGCACAGACTTTTCAATGAACCAAATTTACTGATAACCAATTCGCGAATAGTACCATCAAAATGAAGCACATCGCCGCCTACATGCTCCTTGCCCTTGCCGGCAACGAGTCTCCCTCCGTTGCTGACATCAAGGCTGTCCTCTCCTCCGTCGGCATTGACGCTGAGACCGAGCGCCTCGAGAAGCTCATCGCTGAGCTCGAGGGCAAGAACCTCCAGGAGGTTAGTGAACACCCCCAAGCTTGAGAACTACCCGACATTCGACTAACACTTCCATTACAGCTGATCGCTGAGGGTTCCGCCAAGCTCGCCTCCGTTCCCTCCGGTGGTGCTGGTGCCGCTGCCGCTGCCCCCGCTGCCGGTGGTGCCGCCAACGAGGCTGCCCCCGAGGCCGCCAAGGAGGAGGAGAAGGAGGAGTCCGATGATGACATGGGATTCGGTCTGTTCGACTAAATGCATCCCTCATCACGGTCTCAAAAGGAACAATCTGGAGGAACAGATATCTGAGTGGTCTAGTCAGTTCGGGAAGGAATTCCAGCGACTGGTTTCTCAAGTGTGCATTGTTCAGGCTGTTCTAACGCAGTTACGAGTTTTTCATATATGAGCTGGAAACAGTTTATAGCCAATACAGATTATCTGACCTCCACTATTGTTTTATACGTACGAAGTAGCTTTTAGTAGACCTGTCCAACAGGACATTGTCTATTCTACTCCCATCCAACGAAGATCATAAAAATTACCTGACTAGCCTAACTAGTTCCAAGGGTGTGATATGATCTATGTAATAAGGGCTTTTGGAATTGCGATTAGCATTGATTTGATATCAAACATGCGGTTAATACAGACCAAACTCTGGTGCTTGGGACAAGAGGTAATAAAAATACGCCGTTGAGTATTTTAGAGATACTTTATATAACGTGGTGAAATGACCCAAATATGGTGTATTTTCTGGTCTTTCATTGGATTAGAAACGGTAAATTACTACTGTAATACAGGTTACCCAAATCGGACTAGTGGGTTAGGGCTTAACCTACCCGTCGCTTAGGCGAGCCCCTGCCCACCTCACCAGTCCCAGGTGTACTAGCGAGATCGTTCCCGCGACACGACGACCCGACAACCCATCTTCCTTCGCTTTTCGAGATACCGTTCGGAAGGCGAGCTCCAAGGAAACAACCGCAAAAATGGCTGACATCGAATACGTGAGTTTTTTTTCTCATGGGACCAGGCCCTGTATCAATAGCTAACAAATTCTTCTTAGAACGCCGAGGAGGCTGCCGGTACGTCTTGAATCAATCTTATCCAACCCATACCCAGAGATCAGTGTCAAGCGATGGAGGAAATTGGATCGAGTGTTTTGGGAACGACAATGATAAACGACGAAGAACGAGGGGTCGGATTTTCGATATCGCTTTGACGAAGGGATTGCACGACACACACACCACCATCGATAGCCCAAATCGCTGACAGGAATTTCGACAACAGAGATCAAGAAGAGAAGACAGTTCCGCAAGTTCTCTTACCGCGGTATTGACCTCGACCAGTACGTTTTACCCGTCAACCATCCACCCGCCACCCCACTCGCAGCATGCACCCAGTCTCATTGAAGGAGGATACGATGAATGTCACCACTCCTCTTACACCACCCTGTTGCCAGATGCTCGCTGCGGGATGGGAAAGCGGGCGATGAAATTTTTGCTTTGCAGTGTCTAACTAAATTTTCCAGGCTCCTCGACCTCTCGTCCGAGCAGCTCCGCGATGTTGTCCACGCCCGTGCCCGCAGACGTTTCAACCGTGGTCTCAAGCGCAAGCCCATGGGCCTGATCAAGAAGCTCCGCAAGGCTAAGCAGGAGGCCAAGCCCAACGAGAAGCCCGACCTCGTCAAGACCCACCTGCGTGACATGATCGTTGTCCCCGAGATGATCGGCAGCGTCATCGGTATCTACTCCGGAAAGGAGTTCAACCAGGTCGAGATCAAGCCTGAGATGGTTGGCCACTACCTGGCTGAGTTCTCTATCTCTTAGTACGTTGCTTTCTATGTCTGCATCCTATGGAATAGTACTAACAACCCTCCAGCAAGCCCGTCAAGCACGGTCGCCCCGGTATCGGTGCCACCCACTCTTCCCGTTTCATTCCCCTGAAGTAAACGATTTCGAACGATTCCCCTTGGAGTGGCGTGTGGTGGAGATGGTGCTGGGATAGCAAAAATGGAAATCAGCACCCTCAACTGGGTTGCTTTATTCAGCTTGTATTTCCAGTGCGGGCCAGCTGTTTCCAGCTCAATTTAAGATCTTGTCGGCATAAAAAATTGGAGATGTATCTCCTTTCGGTTTTCGTTGAGTGACGAAGCAAAACAGTGCTCTCCTTAGTTACAGTGATGTTGCTAAGGAGGGTGAAATTCACGATATGATAAATTTCACTCTTGTCGCATCGTAATGTAGATCCAGTAGTATCTCAAGGTCCACTGCACCGCGCATCTCAACTCTGGGTTGTCCATATATCCATCCGTTTTCATGACTGGTAATACTACTTCCACGCTACCTGCATGGTACCTTTTCCTCGAGTTTAATGTTGCTCAAATGCAGAATCACTTTGACCTCAGATGTGAGTCGGCGATTTTCGGCATGCAGTGTTACGTGCATATCACGACAACAGCACTGGAGTTGGCTGACTTCATATCTGTCACTTTTAACTAAAACTTTGCAATTTTGTTGCGACATTATTTAGATTACTTGTGGATTTCCTTCATGGTATGTGAACAAAGAGCTTTGAGGTCTGATGTGAGAGTTGGCTATGGAGGAGCAACTATATATATCCATGGATGTAGTAGGGATCTGCGAATAACGCCTCGCACCCACACGAAACTTAAATAATGCATTCACCAAAGAACACCATCCAACAGGCATTCTCCAAGGAGTCTCGGGTGGTGGATAAAATCACTCTGCATGGAAAGCCCAGAGTAATTTTTTATCTTATTAATATGACGTTCCCAAGGCTTATCTACCCCAACCCACGGACCCCATTCACCCCAGTACCAAGTGGAGGCCAACTCGGGTATACCGAACTGGACGAGCAATGGGCCGAGGCTGACCGGCGCGAAAGTACCGAGAAGTGCGGAGTGAAAGGCGAACCGGTTCTCTTTTTCTACTTCCAAACTCTCTGAACTTCTTCTTATAACACATCTGGACTGCCGATTCTATACCCTGACCCTTTACCCTTTCACCCCGGATCTGCGCGCTTGGCTTACATATCCCCGCAATATGCCCGTTTCCTCCAATTATCCCCCGGTCGACGTCCCCAACGTCGACCTCTGGTCTTTCCTGTTCGAGCGAGAGGACCGGCCATTTCCCGATGACAAGAGTAAGACACATTCCACTACAAATTATCAGTGAAATTATGAATCCGCCTTACTAACACTGCAAACTCCAGTCCTCTACCAGGACGCCGAAACTAAACGTCATTACACCTACAAGACCCTCAGAGATGCCTCCCTGGAATTCGGCAAAGGCCTCAAAGCCAACTACGACTGGAAAAAAGGCGATGTTCTCGCCCTCTTCACACCCAACACAATTGATACCCCAGTCTTGACGTGGGGAACTCTGTGGGCCGGCGGAGTCGTCTCCCCCGCAAACCCAGCCTACACAGCCGAAGAACTAGCCTTTCAACTGAAAAATTCCGGCGCAAAGCTCCTTGCGACTCAACCCGCTGTCTTGCCCGTTGCTAGGGAAGCTGCGAAAAAGGCCGGTATCCCAGAAGATCATATTATCCTGCTCGGTGACCAGCGCGACCCGGAAGCTCGGTTTAAGCATTTTACTTCTGTGCTCAATATCTCTCGCGCAACTCGGTATCGCAGACAGAAGATTTCGCCTGAGTCTGATGTCGCGTTTTTGGTTTACTCTTCCGGTACTACTGGTGTGCCCAAAGGTGTTATGCTGTCTCATCGGAATATCGTTGCCAACATCTTGCAGCAGGTTACTGGCGAAGGTGGTAACTTGAGCTGGAATGGTGGTCCAGATGGGCAAGGAGATCGTGTCTTGGCATTTTTGCCCTTTTACCACATTTACGGTATGTTGTCTGCATTGTGAGGGAACGGAAACTTGGACTGAGTCACTGACTGCGCGTTTAGGATTAACTTGCCTGATCACTCAAGCTTTGTACAAGGGATACCACCTTATTGTCATGTCGAAATTCGACATTGAGAGCTGGTGCGCACACGTTCAGAACTACCGTGCCACTTTTAGCTATGTCGTGCCGCCAGTAGTGCTGTTGCTGGGTAAGCACCCGGTGGTTGACAAGTACGACCTTTCCAGTCTGCGCATGATGAATTCTGGTGCTGCACCGCTCACCCAGGAGCTGGTTGAGAATGTATACTCGCGTATCAAAGTCGGTATCAAGCAAGGCTACGGACTCAGTGAGACTAGCCCTACCACGCACTCCCAGCGATGGGAGGACTGGCGGGAACACATCGGCTCTGTGGGTCGCTTGATGCCGAGCATGGAGGCGAAGTATATGACCATGCCTGAGGATGGCTCCGACCCCAAGGAGGTCACCGTCGGCGAGGTCGGCGAGCTATACGTCCGTGGTCCGAATGTCTTTATGGGATACCACAAGAACCCGTCTGCGACCAAGGAGTGTTTGTCCGCTGACGGCTGGTTCCGGACTGGTGACGTGGGCTACCAGGATGCCAAGGGCAACTTCTTCATCACTGATCGGGTGAAGGAGCTCATCAAGTACAAGGGTTTCCAGGTGCCTCCTGCTGAGCTGGAGGGAATCTTGGTGGACAATGAGGCGATCGATGATGTGGCTGTGATTGGTCTTGAGAGTGAGGCGCATGGATCCGAGGTTCCGATGGCTTGTGTGGTTCGCAGTGCGAAGAGCAAGTCTTCTGGTGCTAGTGAGAAGGATGAGGCTGCCAAGATTGTCCAATGGTTAGATAGCAAGGTTGCCCACCACAAACGTCTGCGTGGTGGCGTGCGGTTCGTGGATCAGATCCCTAAGAACCCCAGTGGGAAGATCCTTCGCCGTATGCTGAAGCAGCAATTCAAGGATGAGTTGAAGGGTCCCAAAGCCAAGCTGTAGATTCTCGGCACCGATAGAAATTGGATATACACAATACAACATACACCATACACAATACAAGACTATCTATCCCAAGCTGCAGACATGACTAGAAGAGGAGTAGGCGAAACTTTTCACTTCATAATTTTCAATGTCTAGGTGCAGTTGGAGGTCACCTGGCTCATGTGTCAACGCGGACAGTTGCTTTTTGTTCTTGTTTTTTCATACTCTTCAGACTTTGCTTTGCTCTTCTTCCAAGCTCTTTCCTTTCCGTACGTGTCTTCCCACCAACACTTACCATTTTGGACTCTATTCAGACTGTGCTTTGCTGGTCGTTCAACACGTTCGAATTTCTCATTGTTATTTTTCTTTTATGATAAGAATTTACATCCATTTATCCCCGGGAAGTAAGAAAAGATAGGTAGCTAACACCGAAAGGCTAAGCCAACTGAATGAAAGAATATCTACCTACTCAGGAAAGAACCTCTTAACCATTCCATCGACATCCTCTTCCGCAACAGCATCAATCTTCTCAGTAGCAACCTTCTCCACAGCCTCCTCAACCTCAACATCTCCATTAACAAGATCAATCCATCCCTCAACATCAGCCCGAGCAAGCAACTGATCCGCAACAATAGCCACATCCTCCCTGGTCACACTCCCCTTAGCCTCACCGGTAATTCCCAGATCCACCTTCCTGGTCGCAGGATCATCTTTCAAAGTACCAGGCCGCAGGTTGATAGCCTGGAACGGGCGGGAATTTTCCTTCTTCTGTTTCGCGGCTAGTGCAGTCATGTACTCGTCTGCCTCCAGCTTGGCTGCGGCGTAGGTGGGTAGGATTTCGGTTTTACCACGCATGATGCTTGCCCAGGCGTCGTCGTTCATCCAGCTTGGCTGTTTACGGCGACTGCCGAGCCAGGAGACCATTAGGAATTTGGAGACGCTTGGGTAGGCGAATGAGGCGCCTATGAAGTGTTTGGCGGCTTCTTGGTCGATTGCGATTGTGCTTGCTGGGCCGCCCTTGCCGCCGGCTCCTGGTAGATTGTTAGTTATGGAATCTTATTGACCCTTTTTGGTCTTGTACTGAGCGAATCCCCGATCCTATGTTATGCTTTCTTTGCATTTTTATATATGCTCGGGACTCGGATATGGGGGTGTGGAAAGTGGGGTGAGGGGCACGTACCTGCCGACCAGACTACATAGTCTGGTTTGGTCGCGTCGAGGATCTTCTGGGCGTCCGTGGCGCTTTTAACATTTTCTAGACTGGAGATCAAGACATTAAGCTTGCCCTTCCGACCCTTGCCGAGATCTAGGATCTCGCTCTCGTGGTCGGGGTTGCGCACCACGCTAGTGACACTCCAGGAGCGGTTGAGGAGGAGTGGGGTTAGGTGTAGGGCGACTTTGCCGTGACCACCGAGAAGAAGAACGTGCATTTTGACTATTCTGAAGTTTGTTGCTTGGGAAAGGTGTGAGAGAAGATGATGTGGGACAATGGGGGGTCTTTGAAGCTTCTGCGGGGAGCTTCATTCAGCTATGACGTTATGGATTGTACAAGGATCTGATTGGATTATAATCGATATTTGGGTTTACCAGTATGTAAGAGACTTAAAAATCATCCAATAAGCTAAATTTGCTTCAGGATGATTATTTGTCCCTGTTCAATTCACTAGATGGAATCAATGTCCTGTTCATGAGCTGTTCGCCAGTCAAGGCCCGGCCCACTATGTACAGTATGGGATCCAACTCGGCACCCATTGACCCAATTGATTCAACAATTACTAATTACCAAACCCGATTGATATGATCATGCAGAGCGCTTAGCAGGAAGCACCAGATGGCACATTCTCACACTCGTCGCTGCTCGATCCACCAGTCACGCTAACATCAGACCAAGTCCAGTCCGAACAGGCCCCATCAGCACAAAGGATGTAGATAGAGGTCGCGTCACTCTCAACAGTGCCAGTGATCTTCTCCACGGTGAGATCCGTGATAGGAACACCGTCAGTGGGAGTACCAGTCGGGTCGCCATTCTCGTAGTCCTGCTCGAAAACAATACCGTAGTCGGTGATGCCGGAAAGCTTGATGTTGGAGAAGGTGACACCAGAGACAGAGCCAGTAGTTCCAGAGTTGGTCTTGATACGGATTCCGTTTGCCGAGTCTGTCACCGTCGAGTCGGAGATGGTGACGTTCTTGACGGTGTTGTCGGAACGTCCACCAACGGAGCCAATGGACAGTCCGTGACCACCGGAGCAGGTACCACCAGTGAAGACGATGTTCTAAAGGGTGTTAGTTACGCCGAGCAATTTTCTTTTGGGGGTGCACTTACAGAGCCGGAGTTGACTGCCAAACAATCATCCTGGTTCTTCACGACAGCGTTGCGAATAGTCACACCGTTGCTCTCGCCAACATCAAAAGCATCGGTGTTGTGTCCACCGTTCGAATCACCATCCGAGTTGTCGATTGTGATCCGGTTAAGAACAATGTTGTCTGACTCGACGCTGAAGGCCTGGACAGGCGTGTTCTTGATGCTCAGACCGGTGATAGTCGAGTCATCCAGGCTATGCGCATAGAAGAACTTGGGCTTCGTCTTGCCACCGTTGGTTCCCTCGCCATCCCACCAGCGCTCTCCTCCACCGTTGATGGTGTGGTTGGAAGTACCGGCAACAATGATGTTGGAACCCGAGATCTCAATCAGAGGGCCATCCCATTCTTTGTATCCGAAAGTGGTCTCGCCGTCGAAGATAACCTTTCATGATGATATTAGAGGGCAGTTCAGGCGTTGGAGCCAACCGACGGGATCTTACCTTGGTGCCGGAGCTCAGGTCCGTTAGATCCAGTGTCTCACCGGCAGGCACCTCGATGTTATCCAGCACAATCGTGGTGCAGGAGCTCTTGCTAGCGCTCGCACTAGCAGCGGAGTTGAAAGTGCAGGAGGTGGCTCTTTTCATCTGCGAAACGCGAGAAGGGGCCGGTGCAGCGGATGCAATGGTGGCGCCCAGGGCCAGCATGGACATCAGAGAAGTGCGCATGGTGTATATGGGTCTGATCAACAGACGGTATAAAGAACGTGGAGGTTGAGTCTAGCTCGAATCTACAAAAGGGAAAGGAAAGGAGAGAAGCGGTGGAGGAAACAAGAAACAAGTAGGGCATCATCTCAGTATATATGGGGTTTCTGATAACAGCAGAACATGAAACGTGGGAAAAAAGATCGTCCCGTCTATCCGAGACGCTTCGCATTCGACTCTGGCACAATCTATGAACTCATCTATCCGAAGCCCTGACAGAACTCCACAGTGTCTATCATAACCTTGTGAAGAATGGTCTGTTCCTCTTACGGTTATGGCACGAGCCGATCTTCAGGGATGTCAGGGGAAAAGTGGAAACGGTCGTCCGTTCCTGAATTTCGGGGGATCATCGGTAAAATCCAGGTCTCGGTCGGGATAAGCAGTTTCACCATCAGGCCGCTCTGCATTCTGGTCCAATGGACTGCATCCACCTAGACCTGTGCTGAACAAGCATGCGTGGGGCAATGCTTGGCTTATCATTTAATCAATATAAAGCATGTCTTAGTTCGGGGTAAGGTGAGGTGGCTGATTTTAACTTTAATAAGACACTTCGGTAAATACTTTAATCTAAATAGATTGCTTGCCAGTGATGTCAATGGCATTTCCCTGCGAGCAAGGGTATAGTAATAGATAGTAGGTGATCGAAGTACTCAAGCTCCATCCGCCCTGGGGCAGACATAGATTAATGAAACCGCAGGCTTTATATTGTCGATATCGAACAAATTTCTCTATCATATTAATGTTCACAAAGGGAGAAACTCCCTCTCGCAAATTCACGATTATTCTTCTCCTTCCGAACACTCCGCTCTTCCATTAGCGAAAGCCTATGTCCCTTCGCCTCCTCCATTGTCATCAATGACCCTTTCATCCCCCAATCACCTTGACCCTCCCTCCAATCCTCCCGTTGTGGTGGAACATTTGCCGACGAGATAATACGTCGATGAGGATCCACAAGAAACAGTGCAAGAATCTTCCTGTGTCCTGGTTTGGTCCGATCAGCCAATGAAAAGGGAGAGACGCAGTGTTGCAAGATATTCGGGAACGTGATTAATCGGCCTTCTTTGCAGACAATGTCTCCGTCGACTTGAGTCTTGTTATAATCCTGATTACGTCCGTCGACCTCGGGTGGAAATCCAAAGATAACCTGCAGAAATTGGTGGAGATCTTGCTCGTAATCGATGTTATCAAATTCGGCCATGGCTCGATGACGGAAGGCCAATGTACTTTCCGTGATGTTGGCGCTGTCGTAGTAGTAGATCGCTGATGCGCAAATTCGTTCGTTCTGATTTTTAGAAATGAGAAAAGCACTTGTAGAAAGCGGGTAAGTTACTCACCAATTGGCCCTCTATGTGCCAGGTGCCACCCTCATAGTCGGGCTTGTCGGGTGTCAGTTCGATATTCGCCAGCTTCACAATCACCTGGAGGTTCTGATTTTTGAACTGCTCTCGCAGGTTGACTGGCTCATCGTAGTAATCTAGCGCGTAATTTCTATCGAACCGGCCTGGCTCGGGCTGCTTGATCGGTCTGGATGCCAGCCAAGCCCAATCGTCCTCACAATGTTGGTCCTCGTCGTAGTCCCCCTCTGGCTCTGTTGGCTTCGGCGTGGGAGCTTCGCCATACTCGACTCCGTGGAATTCAATTCTGTGTCGATGTCCATAATTTCTTTGTATCAGACTCATGTCCCAGAGGGGAATCGTTCGCGCGATTATCTGTTCAATGACTTCGTATAGCGCACGATGTTCGATAGGATGAGCGTTGTTGATGTATGACAGGATTCGACAACCATCACCCTCTGTCATTTCGACGTCGCAAGGGAGCCATTGGAATCTTCCGCTCAGTACCGAGGGACCCTCATGCCATCTTGATGGTGGCGGCGGCATGGTTGAATTTTTCTCTGATGGGATTGGTATCAAGTCGCCTTCTCCGATGCTACCAAGACAGTCATCTAGACCAATGACACGGTCTGGTAATATACGGGTTCGACCGTAGATCACCGGGAAAAGCGAAGGATGCACCAGGTCAACAACTTTCTGATCCGAGCCTGGATGATAGTCTTTGTCCTTTTGGGGGATGTGTTCCATGGGGGCGACTGCGTCCTTCAAAGCCTGTTGGATCTGCTGAGAGATCGCGATGTCGGACTTGACCACCCCAGAATCGAAGACATGGATGGCTCCTTTTTCTTTGTAGATTCTAGCTTTCCATTGAAGCTCATCAATTATCCAATCCATCATTCTAGAGGACACATCCTGGCCACTTTGAGAGATCTCCTCACGCCATTTGGCAGTGATTTGCTCGTCGAAAACCTATGGAGTCAGATCCGAGTTCACAATATGCACGCGGCCAAAACATACCTTTTGATCCCATGCAGGCTTGTCAGTAATGGTATTCATCACTCGCATCATCAGGATCTCTCTGTGCGTAAAGAGAAGACTGCAACAAGCCGGTCAGCTCCGGAATTCAACGCGATTCCAAAGTACTTACCCTGTATCTTCTTGACTGCAATAGCTTGGATCTAAGGCATTCTGAAACCCAGCTGACCTCCCGTAACCCGCTGCAACCACCTGGGACTAATAAGTATCATTTGCAGTCTTTGCATTCAAAGGGGAAAAGGCTGACCTCGGGATAGAGATCGGAATTGAATCCTGGCATCTTAAGTCGCGGGTCCATCTTGACTCTTGAGTGAGTTGGTGAATTGTGTGAATCTGGCGACATGAGCTGGACTATATAGTCTTTTTTCAAGGACGCAGAAGCTGCAAAAACATTGGAAGGCACACAGAAAACAGGCTACCGTGGCGACAGGTGTGGGAGCCTACGCCTAGACCTACGCTAACCAGAAATTAGGGTCTTCTCTGGACCCTTTTTTCTAGAAAAGATAAAAATAAAAAATAAAAGAAAATATGATGTCAACCATTCAGATGTCATTACATCAAGTAAAAGAGAACAAGCTATTCATTCATCCGAGTATATTCGGACACTCACAGCCTAAAGCTACAGATGTATGTACGTAGGCACATACCTTGTCGTCGTTGCCCTTTTGAACCGAACACGTGAGCAGCTAGGTATTACATAAGTGGGTCCACCAGAGAGCAGCAGCCTGGTAGGCTTCCTTTTCCCTGGATATACGGGCTTGGCAAATGACCACAGTAAGAATTCTACTCGAAAGATATAGCATTATAATTCACACCGCTGCTTCTGCCTCCTTGGGATCGACCATACCAATCAACGTCTCAAATCAAGCTGTCTCTCGGCGTAGTACTGGTAGCGACCTGCCATTGCATGCCGTAGCCGTTTACCGTAAGTGATAAACCCAAATGTGCCAAGTAGAATGGTAGTCATCAAAACTGCAATTGTCACAAAGACATTTGCCAGGCCAACCCCCTCGATCCATAGCGAAAGGGAAAACACCAAAGCAGTTGCGAAAAGATTGCGGACGAAACTCACCCCAGCCAATGAGTCGGCAACGATCTGCCAAATGAGTTTAGTCACTGATTTGTATTTCATACTAAGAGGGTTTTAGTTGCATACCTCTCCATAAGCATCGGTAATATAAGTCAAAGACACGCTGCTAGCGGGCGCATTCCCAAATGCACAAAGTGCAAATCCTGCTGCCAAGACTGGCCAAGGAGCGCCTCGGCTCAGGCCCAGGCCAAACATCAGTATTCCTGCCGGGACAAGAGGAATAAAGCCGGCAATGGCCCAAAGACGCATCTCCGGTTCGTAGATGCCTTGGTTTCGTCTTGCAAGAAAGAGGATAATCCAGTCGCTCAGAGGGCCCGTCACAAGGGCCCCCAGACTTGTCCCAATGAACGGAGGGAGGCTCATCAGGCCTATCTGGGATGAATTGAAGCTATAACGCGGCAAGGCCCTGTATGATGACAGAGTGGTGATCATGATTGTTGAACATGCTGTCATAGCCCCGTATATGAGAGCCATGAAAAGGACGGACGGAATCGTAAAGAGAATGAGGAAAGGCTGGTAACTATGCCGGAAGAAATGATGCAGGGTGCCTTGAGGTCTTGTGAAAGGCACCAGACGCTGTAGGTATGTTTTCTTAGGGATAGAAATATCGATCTGTGGTGACGCGATGTCGCAGTTGGAGCTGGTTCGTGCCAAACAATCGCCAATCCTGTCAATTTTCTCATTTTCTTTGGTGGCGCCATGTGTTTCTGATGCCTCAACCTTCCTCTCAGATGTCGAAATACCATCGATCATCCCGACGGGTACCTTGTATAAACTTTCCTCGTAGAAAAAGATAAAAGCAACAAAGCAGATACCAAAAAATATGGCCATCCACCACCAGACCATGCGCCACCCTTGGGCAACTGTAATGTAGCCCGCAGCCAATGGCGCCAAATTAGAACCGCTGTTCATGAACCAGACGTAGATACTATTGATTAAGCCACGTTGGTGAACGAAATAGATATCTGTGACGGTCATCTGCACAATGACTTCAGAAAGCACACCAAAGAAACAACTTAGAATATTAACCATCATAAGATCCGCAACTGTCTCCATTTTTGCAGACCATATGCAGATGGCGAGCTGCGCCGCGGTGCTGAAGAGGTAGACAGGGCGTCGTCCGATTGCCAGAGCAAATGGGATCATGAAGAACGCCTCGATGCACAAGCTTCTCACATCCGGCTGCATATGAGTCCTCGAGTATCTCAAAGCTAAAGCCAAGTTAGTGTAGCGGCGTCAATCCTTCGAGGGTCAGCAATCGCAGGTTAGAAAGGGATGGTGGATACTTACAATGCCCAGACCATGAAGGAATAGAAGGATGCCAGGAAAAAATTGAGATGTTTTCGCCATAGTGGCCAATTCTGCAAGTTCGTTGTATCAGATGGTTGTCTCGCAGTAGATGGAAGGGAATATAGCTCCTTACTAGGGGATCATTTGGGTCCGACGTGGGACGAGGCTGTAACATTATCTCGCCATGCGTATGCGCGTAATCAGTACCCCGTAAGCTTTCAATTCGAGCGGTACCTGGCGGCCAGTCCGGGTCACGGTCACATGCATTGCCAGGGGCCATGGTTGCTCGTTTGTGGATTGAAGAAGCTGTTGAGTACTTTGATCTGGGCTCGGGTATTGAGCTGGTTCTTATACCATTTGGCCATTACTGAATGTATCCTACGGTTTCGAATGTATTTCTTTACCTCCTTTGAAAAATAGGTAGCCTTCAGACTATTAGCAACAAAAGTTGTGTCCTATTAGACGGATCTTGGCGCGAGTGCCTATTGGCTAATGCGGCAAATGGCGGGGGATGGAGCCGTGCACAATTATTCGCCGCATGCAAGTTACCTCTATCTTGAGATTCTAGGAACCTGCGGAATGGATTACGCTTTTTTCTCGGATCTGGTAGCAACTCAATGTTATAGAGAAGATAATTTGCGATAGGTTGTGAACATTGCCTTTCATGATCATCACTGGACTCCTCAGTTTCATTTGAAACAGTGGCGAAGAGGTAGGTAAATTTCGACTTGGTTTATTATATCTTCTCAAGACTTTGCGCATTATGCCTTATTCAAACGCCTCTCAATGCCTAAAAGGCTTCCATGCTTGGAGGTCATCTCTTCAAATATCTTACAAATCCAACTCTGCTCAGCCAAGCGTTTCGTTTCCATACTTGCCATAAGCATGGGCCAGCATATGCGTCCTAAAAGTCGCATATCAATATCCAATGCTTTTTTGGCCGTTTCCATGAGATTTTTCAAAGACGACTGGTGACAGCCATGCTTTGATAATCTACGGCAAACGACTCGGTGACAGAATATCTCCGTTCCATATAAATCGGCAACGGCAATTAGAGTCGTACGTACTACACGGCGCGATACAGAGCTAGGTCCTTGCGCAAGCTTCGCTATTCGCAGAAGGTCGTCAAATTCCTGCTCTTGATTAGTACAATATACTTGGCCACTGAGGCGTGATTGGAGAGATCCGCACCTCTTTGGTCTGACGTAAGTCTTCGCATATGCCTGTCATGTGGGAAATGTTCAGGGACAGGCCCGGTGAGCTCTGATCCAGAGTTTCCAGTTTGAAATGAAGCTTGTTGCACTCATGGGTGAGGTCCAGGGCTCGAAGGTTCTCAAGGTCATCCAGAAGCTCTTCAGCTGGGTACCGAGTGTCCCAGATTCGGGGTAATGTATGGTGCGCTGCTTGAAAAAGCTGATCGTAGAACACGCCGGGGTTCTCGCCGTCGACAAAGTAATAAGACGAAGCTTTGGCATCTGGGGCCTCTGGCAGGATCGTCAAATTGCATGCACTATTTCTATGATAAGCCATTGTTAGCGATCAACTAGAATGCGACGTACAGAGTAAGAAGCAACAAATGCTGCGACAGCGGGGGAAGACAGTCAATTGACAATTGATCTCCACTGGTCCCAGAAAGCTGTTCGGAGCTACGAAAAAAGGACGCCAATCCCTGGAGATGTATCGATGTAGTGGCATTACTTTTACTGAATTGTGCTTCATAAAACACCATGAGATAGAAGACAGTTAAGATCGCATCGATGTCCTCATCTGTCATGGGCGCCGGCGTACGTAACAGACGTGACAACTCGCTCAGGGCAAGACAATAATGTGCTTTTCCCGCCTTTCCTATTGGCGTTAAGGAAGTGTAAGAATGCGGATATGTCGTCTGTCGTAACTGAAGTTCTTTCGCCCCCATGGCCATGATCATATGCATGACGCTGGAGTTGCATTATGGCTACTTCCCGGTAAATATAAGCTGGAGCGCTCCACTCCCAAGCTTTACCGTAGTTGAAAGCGAGAATGCAATGGGGAAAGAATTGGAACAGCTCCCGGTCCTTTAGGTCAAGTATGACGGAGTTCTGGAGCGGGATATGGTCTGTCCCTAGGCTTCTCATGAGAGGAGGCTGGTAATTATAGATGTAGTGATATGGGTCGATCTGATAAGTGGGAGTGGCAGCAGCTGGTGCACGATGGATCAATGGTTTTATTGAACGACAAATGCCACGCGGTCCTGCTGCCTTGCGTGTTGATCGCCGAGGAACCGGCACCCAGTCCCAGTCACATTTCACATGGCCACTAGTACAGCGCTGACACTCCGGTCTTTGTTCGTCGCACTTTAGCTTGCGCACACGACAAGACAAGCAACCTGCTCATGAGATGATTAAATTATGAGCGGATTGCATCCTAGCGATACTGACCTTTTTTCAAGCGGGGTGCATTTCTTCCCGACATATTGGATTCTCTCGGAGCCCATCAATTGGGTTAGCACAGAGTTAGACGAGGTTAGGTCGCTTAGAGAAGAGTGACCAGGTGATAGGTGTGGGGACGGTAAACACCGACTTACCCCGGCTTGTTATCTGTGTACCTTTTGCCGCATTGGCCAATCACAGGTCAGAGTCATATTTCTCATTTAGCCAATCGGGGGACAAGTAAACGTTGGCTTCACTATACGGTACTTGGTCTAGAAAATAACTGCTGCAATTCAGTACGTCTTCTACGGCCCCTATAAATTGGGTTCAGGTGAGTCTATGGGATCTCTTCCCTTCCTCCATACACATTGTGCCCAGATCGCAAGCTATGAGAACTACTCTACCAGCCCCAGCTGACCCCGGTCAAATTCAGGACGAAATCGATGTCCTGGCAAACACTCATAAGAATGATCTATGGCGTGTGAACAAACAGGTAAGTCGATCAATCTGTCATTCCGGTGCTCATAAGATTTCTAACCCGTTTCCCCACCACCAGATTCACGGAAACCCCGAGCCACACTATGAAGAGGTGCAAGCCCATGACAACATTTGCAGTTTGCTGGAAAGCCTTGGGTATACCGCCGCGCCTCATGCATACGGAATCTCAACAGCTTTCCAAGTCGAGTTCGGCACCGGAGGGGGGCTCGTGAGTTATAACGCCGAATACGATGCCCTCCCTCGTGGAAACGACGAGTACCACCATGCATGCGGACACAATCTCATCGCCACCTCCTCAATTGCCGCCTTCCTGTTCACCGCGGGCTTGCTCAAAGAGATGGGGATCCAGGGCCGGGTCCGGTTGCTGGGCACACCAGCTGAAGAGTCGGGTGGTGGCAAAATTGACTTGATCGAAGCTGGAGCTTATCGCGGCGTGGATGCTAGTCTTATGGCCCACCCATCCAACGACATCGAATCCTTCGATGGCATCAGTTGTCCTAAGACTTTGGCCATTAATTCAGTCAAGATCAAGTTCCATGGAAAGGAGGCCCACGCTGCAGCCTCTCCGTGGGCTGGAGTCAATGCACTCGATGCTGTTGTTTCAACATACAATAACATCGCGATGTTGCGACAACAGCTTCCATTAACAGATCGTGTTCACAGCATAATTAGCAATGGCGGCGAAAGACCGAACATCATTCCCGGACTTGCGGAGATTGAGCTCTATGCGCGGGCTGCCACCGATACAGAGTTAGAAACACTTTGCAAACGACTTGAAGGCTGCATCCATGGCGGTGCGCAGGCAGCCGGATGCAAAGTCGAATTGACATGGTGAGACCGAATTTTTTGGTTCGTATTGATCACGCTAACCTAGGCTAGGGATCGGGCATATAAAAACCTGCGAAACAATGAGACCATCGCAAGGGTCTTTACCGACTCTATGCGAGCCATGGGGAAAACATTCCAACACAAATTGGAGGACAATATTGGAGGCTCAACTGATCAAGGTACCATGTTCATTTCAAGACGGTGGCTGCATGGCTGGATTTCTAATGTGTCTGCTTCTAGGAAACGTGACCCACGAGATCCCCGGTATCCATCCGATGTTTGTGATACCTACTCCAGAAGGCGACATGGGACCGCATACACCCGGGTTTGCAGAGGCAGCAGGCACATATGATTCGTTTCTACGAGCCTTGGACGTTGGAAAGGGCCTTGCAACTGCAGGCTACCAAATTCTGGCGGACCGCCAGCTCAGACATGAGGCTTGGAATGAGCATGTCAATAAATGGCCGGGTGTAGCAAAGAGCGACGTCAGCTACACATAATAGATACTTCACCGTTGGAAGTAGGGACCAAAATTCAACTTGCGACTGATGCTGAAATGGGATATCACGTGATAACATAGTCCAGCCAATCATACTTTCTTCGTGAGCACGGACCCCAGACTGAGATTTACCTTGTGGGCCTGACTCTGTGCGTACGTTACGTCATGTTTGTGTCCTGCTTATTTTCATTCCAGCGGCCCTGGGGCGCAAAAATGGCATTAATGGAAACCATACCAGCGTTTCAATGCCATGTTTGTACCTCGAAGCTCAAAATACAGACGCAGTTGCAGGATCAAAGTTAAACTATTTTCAGCAGTGAGGCGTTCGAAGACCCCCGGTGCCGTTTCGAACTGTTGGTACTCCACTGGGGCAACTGAAATATATTTAACGAGCAATTCGTACAATTGTAGGTTATCGGATTGTATCCGTTCATGACCTCATCCTGTGATCTTAATACCTTGACTACGTCCTTTTAAATATAATTGGAAAGGTTGGATGTTCTAGATCTTCTTAATTTTGTGCTTTGTTTGAAATAAATTGTTGAATCAAAGAACCTTGCTTTGGAAGCTCTTTCCGGACCTTGGACAAGCGAGATTGAATATCAAAGCTCCACCAATACCATCATTTCCCGGAATCATATCTACTCCTACACAAAGGAACTAACACCGCGTGGCATTCAGATCAATCCGATAACCGAGACCTCCAATCAAAATATACCACCGAGAATGAGCGGAAGAAAATTGATCGCACACTTGAAACAACGGCGCGCGGGGCCTTGAATTACAATCTTCTCTTAGTGCGGAGCCAGAAATTGGGATTGGTGGTTTGGCACCCACCAACATGGATCATACTTCCGGCCCCAACGTTCCTCCTCAATCTTCTTAGACTTTCGCAAGAACACAAAATCGATGAATCTGGGCCCTGGAGTTCAAGAACCGATCGATATGCACTCCCGTCGATCAATATTCAGAGATCAATGAATGTATGAATCAATTATTCATGAAGTATGACGCTTGACTTTCTACCAAGCGCTCAATACGAGATTCTACATCCGTTGAATCAATATTCCGAGAAGTGTGATAGATCGGAAATTAATATCGAGCTCGAGAGCCTCGACTTTGGGCCGTTTTGCAAGTGCGAGTATCGGGAATTGGAAGGTACTTTTGGGTAAACTGGTACTGGTGGAGTCAATACCGGCTGCCCCACCAGGTATACCAGGTACCGGTACCAACATGCAGGTACAGGCACTTCGAGTGTAAAATTCCAATTCCTTTAGCTCCCCTTTTTACAAATCATCGATGATTTGAGAAAGTCTATTGACCACTTGCAAACCTGACGGGTCTAGGGAAGTAGAGATGCAGAGGAGTCGTGCATGTGCATATCAAAATTACCATAGGAATCCGCCCTAAGACTAGTCAGGGGCACCGCTTCGCCCAGCCAATCCACGACCCCGGGGAAGTGAAAGGCAGTTTTTAGGCCCAAACTATCATAATTTGGGTAGATGGGCCCAGTGCGTGGAGGTAACGAAAAGAAGGGTGATGCGGGAGCAAGCTGACTGTGGGGACCCAACCACCACGCACTAGGACCTCGTACCCAAGCGAGTTTGTCTTCCCCACTGTTGCCCTTCTTTCCTTCGGTCCACCACTACGAGAGGAGAAGGTTCTCCGCGGGACCCAAAATGCCTGGGCAAAGCTTACGGGCTGGGTCCCAACAACGGCTGTCAATCTTGGCTCCAAAACAACGCGAGCCAGAAACGCGCTAAATGAAGGTTGCTCCTTTGGGGCCTTTTCCGTTAGACCAACTGCTCTCCTCCTTGTCTGTGCTCATGATCTCATCGGTTCCACCAAGGCTGGGATGAGATCCGGATTCTGGATTCATAATCATTCATCGATGATGCAACACTGGGTCGCGTCGGAAGAGAAATCAAAACAAGCAATTACTCTTTCTGCAGGGCCGAAGAGTTCTTCACCGAAGCGGAGCTCCAATGGATCCAGGTGATCCTCGGCTGTTCTCCTTGCGATTTACGCGGATCCACGGCATGGGCGTCTGCCAGCGTGGCACAGCATGTCGATATCATATAGAATTATGCGCGACGGCATCAACCGTGCTGCACGACGCAGGAGACTCTCGGAGAAATAACCTGCAGATTACAGCAGCTAGTAATTTTTATCCATGAGTTGGCTTGCAGGTGGCTGAGAAGAGGCCCCTGCAAGCCATCTGATAGACGAATGGTCGAGATTAATTTCATTGTTCAAGTTGGCCGCCATGCAAGGGGAATCAGATATACTGCATGTACTGTGTGCACTCCATGCATTATATGCCATGAACAGCGGTTGTAGTGTTCGGCAGAAGTCCCCACCGGTTGTACCGAAGGGATCGAGTTTGCGATCATCTGTATCCCCTATCCATCTGGAGATCGGTCAATCCAGTTCGCATTGGCAAGGTTCCCGTGCCCAGACTCTCGGAAGCAAGCTAGTGGATTAAAATTGACCTTCCTTTTTTTCATATGCCGGTTATGAAGTCTCCATTTAATGGAAATGAAGAATATCAAATTAACTTTTAAACAGTAAACAAGCCCCGCGCCGGTATGGGTATCCTCCCCATCCTTAATCATGATAAAACACACCTTGGACGCGCCTGGGACGCTGCAGTGGCGTTCAGCCCCAGGTTCCACATGCCGCACGAGGAAACTTACCAGGTAATTACGGTATTATTGGACTTCCTGCAAGGGACCCGGCCATTGGGTCCGCGGGTTATTAAATAATTCTCCAGCTATGTACAAGAGAAGATTGTGATGTAAAGTACCGTATCTCCATGTCTCAACTCCATCCATGGATGCACTTCGGGTAGCCCCTATGTACCTCATGGGCATGGCAGCTGTAAATAAACAAAGTCCGTCCAAAACTTCATGTGCACATCGTAATAGATCGACTTGTAGAACAGGTGGACACTCATATCGGGGACTATCCGGATCCAGATCCCTATTTTGTTCAAATAAAATTTGACTTTTGGATTTTTTTTTCTGTGATGTTTCTAGCGTCATACAGTCAATACAGCCTTGGTACCCGTACTTGGACGCTTTTTCTCCCCATTCTCAATCTCCAATCATTGCATTCCTTGACGAGGTCGTCCTGTCATATTTGACTTTTCTTTTTTCCTGATTACTTGTTATTCCACACGCTCTTTAAATCTATCGATTGCACTTTCAATTGCGACGCCCCCGATCATTTCCTGCACGTCGACTCCTATCCCGCCCACTCGTTTCCTCGTGTGATCAATCAAGCCTGTTCGCCGGTCACTTCGCCCCCTCAGCTATATTTGATTGGTGCTCGAACCCCCTTGTCCTGCTTGCCAATCGGTCCAGACAACGCGAACAAGAATAAATCAACCGCGGGGGCTATTCCTTACTCGATTTTCCATTCAGGAGTCGCTATCTACTCCCTCAACCAACTTGACCTGGCGCTTAATGGTCATGCCGCTCTTTTGTATACGTGGATAAGCATTGCCTGGTAGGTATCTGGGGAAGAAGTCTTCAAATATCCCAGAGACTAACTTGTTCTACCAGTCGCTAGTCGCTCGTTGCCGTTCGTCGTTAAATCCGCATTACGAACTATAACCGCTCTTTCCCCTTTAAATAACCCCACAAATCGTCCCGATGATGAACCGGTTTCGCAAGAATAAAAAGGCCAAGGAGGTCAAGGACACATTGAATGAGCTGGAAAATGGCCCATCCACATCTGCATTCAGCTTGAAGCTGTCAAAAAAGAAGGACTCGGTGGAGGAGCCACCGAATTTGAATCTCTTAGCGGATGCCCTCCCACCATCAGATGATTTCCGCACCAGTTTGCTCATGCCAAAGCTTTCCGCTCGATTCAGCATGTTGAGAGAACAGGACGACCCGGCCTCCAAGATCGGCAAAGCTAGTGACGACAGCGTCCTCTTCCCCAAGCGAGCTTCGCGATTGAACCTCTTCGGACACAGCCCAGCAATGCTGACAGATATCGACGAAGTTTCCTCAAATGACGGTAGCCGACCTTCTATGGTCTTGGGTCGTACCGACTCCTATGCATCTGGCGGGGATGGAGGATATGGTACCGACGATGACCGATCAAATAATGGGAGCATCATGAGCCGAGCTCGCCGAGCTGAAGGGAATAATTTGTTTGGTGGCCGTCAAAAAGTATTCCGCATCCCAGTTCGGTCTCCAGGAGGGTCATCGCCTGCCACTGAGAGCCCGCTAGGAATGGGCAAAGCAGTATATGACCATGACTTGAATATGTCTGCTTTCCAACGGATGAGACTGCAAGAGAAGCAAGACAGAGAGGCGGCGGCGGCAGCAGCAGCAGAAGCAGAGGGAGAAGAAACCCTAGATACCGCCTTACCGGACTCTGAGGATACTCCTTCTATTTCATCGGCAAATCGAACCACCCTATCATCAACTGCATCTGGCCCCACAGCGAATGCACGCTTCTCAACTGCAGCGACTTCAATTGATGAGTCTCAATCCGTCGTATCTCATCTGCAGCCTACAGGTCCGTTGCACACCGCTCCAGCTCCAGAATTTCAAATGGACGCCCGCCCACATTCTGGCATGTCAACCCCAAGAACTGGCTCGGTTCGATCTCGTCGTCTCTATGGTCAGGGTTTGACGCAGAACGTACAAAATCAACAAAACTCGACCTTGCATCGCCTGGAAAGCCTCAGTCGTCAACGATCTGGTACCCCAGATCTTCTGCCTTTGAACCGCAATTACTCCAGGAGTGCCACCAACCTTCGTGACCGACTGCAGAAACTTGCCATTACTGAACCATCTGCCCCTCGGCCCAGCAGTCCTCCTTCGTCGGCAACCTCGCCAAAGCAGCAACCATATATCGAAATTGCTCCTATGGAGCGCGTTTCCCCAACGGCAGCCTCTTTCGGTGCACCTCCACTGAGCCCACCTTCAAGCGAAACCGACGATAGTCACTCCTTGCTGGCTGCAGCGCTCAATCCAGAAGACCACGGAAAAGCAACAGCCATGGGTCTGTTTAACAGACCAGCTACTGGTTTCGATGAGCAACAGTTCGTTCGCCGTCAGCTCCAGCTGCATCAAGGCCGAGACACCCCTCCTCCTCGACGACCTTCTTCGCCCCCTCGTGCTATGCCAACCGATCAGCCCGGCCGGCTTCGCGGACTTTCCAAGTCCAGCTACCGCTCCAGAGCCGAGTCAGCCTCCTCGCACTACAGCAGTGATGCGCATCATGGTATGGAGAGTGTGGAAGCGTCTCCCCGCATCCCTGGGAACAAAACTTTCTATGCTACCTCGACCACGAGTGATTCAGGAGATGAAGGAGAGGATCGTCGCTCGTACGAATTGTCTTCGGTGGCATCTGCAGCCACGGATTACGGTAACCCCCTCTACCACCCCAGCATCACGTCTAAGCCGCCTACTCCTACTGGGGATCATCTTGAAACTTTGCCCGAAGTGCGGTACTCGGATCTTGGTGATCTGAAACCGATTGACGAGGATGAAATTCCCGAAGAGACTCCCTCTGACATCGCTGGCTCTGTGACTCCCGAACGCCCAGACTCTCCAACAATCCAACCGTCTGGATTTGGCATGGATGGAATTCGGTCACACTTGCGGTCTGCAAGTGACAAATCTTCAATCTTCCGTTCCCCGTCCCCAACACTGCCCATGGATGAGCCCGACTCGAAGAAGCTTGAGCCTCAAGTGTCTGTCCTTGAGGTTCAGCCCAGCCCTACCTCAGAGAACCAGCCCCACGTCGATACCATTGCGGAGCTGACTGAGCCGGAAACTTCAAGCACCCGGGATTCATCCAGACAATCCGCAGAGATCACAACCAGTCGTGGTAGTGAAGATTCCTCCGATGGTGCTATTCCTGACAGTATGCCGTCGTGGAAGGAAGAGCTTGCATACCACCACCGCCGAGATGGAAGCACGGAGACCCAACGGGAGCGTGAAGAGTTCGCTATGGAAATTGCTGAGCGACGCCGAAAGATCCAAGAGAAGCTCCGGAGTGTCGCAGAGAGTGAAAGTCGCTCTAGTAGCCCCACTCCTGGTCGACAGACCCCCGACTCTCAGATCAAGGCTGGCAATGCTTTCTCCCTTTTGAAGCACAAGTCAAGCAAGCAGGGAGTCTCAAAGAACGACCTATACGGCTACAGTTCTTCCACCCCTTCTCTTGCTGCGGAGGATTCGCCGCGCGAGGAACGGCCATCTCTCTTCAGCCGTCATTCCAATGCTAGCGCTCCCCAGATCTCAGAGCGATCCCTCCGATCTCGGATGCCGACTCTCAGTCGCAGTGCATCTCGAGAATCAAGTCGCAGCCGCGGCACGTCCCCACAGCCTGGTTTCCGGGCTCCTAGAGATCGCTCGAGCTCTGATGCTTCCGGCAGATCCAAGAGTCGCACCAGATACCGAGATCGAGACGATCTCGAAACTGTGGAGGAGGGTGCAGTCATCGCCCATGATAACTTTGTTGTTCCTGAAAATTTCGAGCCACCTGTACCTGCTTCGGTTGCTGGCTCGGCACGTCCATCCATGGAGGCTCCTGAGTCTGCTCCTTTCGACCGGTCTGCCTCCGCCGCGTCGGGTAGATATCGTAGTGCTAGCCGGTCAGGAACCCCGAGTTTCCAATACGAGCGACCGTTCCAGTTCACCCAGGCGTCTCACCCACCTTCTATAATTGGCGCTCCGCCTCGACCATCCCCTGCTACCCCTGCTTATTCGGCCAACGCCACCCCTCCGCTGAATGAGATTCCATCCGATCAATCAACAGCCAGTCTTGCTGCATCCAGCTCGCAAAGCCTGCCACAGCGTGGTCCGGGCAATAACACGCTTCAGAAGCGACCAGTGAACAAGAAGACCATCTCAGAGCCGACTTTCGTCTCCTGTACTTCAAATGTTCCCACTGTTGGTCTTCCAGGAGGTCCGGCTCCGAGTGCGACTCCCCCAGTACCACCAATGAACCCTCGACGCCGCCGAGGCACCCAGACCATTCTGTCCGCGTTCAAGGCTGATTCGCGTGTCTCATCCCCTGCTCCTAGCATTAATGATGAGCACAGTGTCTTCCCGGATGATGAGAAGCGCCCTCGATCCCGCAGCCGTCTTCGCAAGAAGTCGATTGAGGGTGGTGAGCGAGCCCGTCAAGAGGCAATGAGCCCTGTCCCGGATATCCCACATTACCCACCCCCTGCAGTTCCGGTCGATGGTGGCATGTTCTAATCTCCGATCGTCATTCTTTATCTTCATTTTTCTTTGTGTCTTTATTGTCCCAAAGCACATATCCCTTGCCCTCATTATGCCAGAGACCCTAGGGGTCTAATTTCTTTGACTTCACATTTTACGACCTTTATACCAATTGGTGCATTCATGAGCGTCTGTCTTCTACCTGCACCCTATTTTTGCTTTTTGTTTCCAATATCCAGCACAGGTGCAACCAGGTGTATTTGCAGCTTACATGTTACATATTTGAGTTCCTGTGGATAATGAATTATTCAGAAGATCACAACACATGCTTCTTCCCGCGTATGATCAAAGGAAAAATCCTGCTTCAACAGCGCTTACACTGCTAGCAAAGTGTTTGGCCGGTGATCCACTTAATCAACCTTGGGCACTTGCATGGCTGATCAGTATATATGAAATGATAAATTTCTTCCATAAGCTAACGACATTAAACAGTTCATCGCCGAGAAGTTCAAGAACGGTGCACCATTTGCGGATCAACGCATCACGTGAGGGCTTCACCATTTGCGGATCAACGCATCACGTGAGGGCTTTAGCCCTTGAAAGTTAAGAGTCCTTTCGTAGACAACCGCGAGATCTACAGCTGATGGGGTTTTCTATGAGCCTGGATCATTTCAAGGTCGAGAATCAAATAAAATGAAATTACCTAAGGCCAAAGGAGATGCGCTCAAGAAAACCATTGAATGTATGAGGTGTTGGATTGGAATCTAGAAGTGAATGCGTGCGTGGCCTTTAAAAAGAATGCGTTGTTACTACTCCTGATCTGGTTAGACCGAAAACACCCATATCAAAACATCCGGAAAAATTAATTGCCGGCTCACTCCTCTTCCTTCCACGCCACCCCACTAAACACGACGCACGTGACCACATCGACCCTCATCCTTTTTGCTTCTTTTAATTCTTCGAGATGACGCCTGCTCCTTCTCGGTTTGCACGTGAGCAAGGCACATCCTACTTTTATTCACCTGAGCGCCTTGACTGGCTGAGGCTCATGACCCGCGCTTGCCTTGCAACGTGGAATGTTTGGCATCTGCCGAATCAATTTGACCGGACTTACCAACAAATCATATACCTAGAAGAGAAGTATGGATTTCAAACAACAAGATGGTGTTTCAATAGATGGCGTGGCTTTCAGCCAGTTGACAGTGCGCTGGGCCGGCTTGGAAAAGATGAGGACATTCCTGAAGAGCTTAAGAACGTGATACCTCCCTTTGGTTTGTCTACTCCTATAGTTAGAGGATGTATGAACCAATGCTGACTTGGCTGCAGATGAGGATGCGCACTGGATCTTCTGCAGTGATGGCAATGAACATGGAATGAAAATAGTTCCTGGTGAGGGTCGTGACCAAGCTATCAGAGATGAGGCAGTAAAGTTGTTGGAAAAGTTGGCGCTTGTTTGTTCAGACACTACTACCCAGCCTGGAACTTCTTTCACCCTCCTTCCGCTTCCTCAATCTCAGCACCTTGACCTCCCACCTGGAAATACTGAGACTTTGACGCGACTTGAAAACTCTGCACCTCTTTCATTTCCTGACCTTCAATACCTCAACATCCCCCCTGCAGATACTGAGCCTTCGATCCCACCACCTGCTTACAGTGAAGCGGACAGCCTTCTTATTGGCACTGGTCCTGTCGAACAAACAAGTGCTGACCCTTCATCACTTGAGTGTCCTCCTTATTCTCCTTCTTACTCTCCACCTCTCTCCATCAGCGCGTTTCCCATCTACGCGCCCCCGGACATAACCATCTATCCACCCTCAACGCCTTCTCCCTCTGCAGCAGCGCCTCCCATCAATCCCCTTTCTCTTTCTCCCATGTCTTCTCTTTCTTTGCCTCCAATCCCCCCTTCCTCTTCTGAAATGCCCCCTGTTCCCTCGAAGAAAACAAAGGGCAAGAAGGGGAAGAAGGGGAAGAAGAAGGAGAAGGCAGAGAGAAAGGCGAAGATGGCCGCTGCTGCCATCAACCCGGCCGGGCCCTCCAGCGACGAGGGCTTCGGCCAACCCCAAACTCCCTCCTCGACGTCGACGGTGATTTATACACCGGTCACCGGCGAGTTCTTATCGTCTCCCTCGGCCCCGCAAACCCCCCGCGCTTTCGAGGTATGCAATGACCCTCATGCTTACCTTACTTATCACTTATACTAACTCAAACTCCTAGACCACCTTGGCAGCTGCTACTGCTGAGGTCCAGGTCACTGGTATGGTGGTACAGGCCGAGTCAGAGACCCTGACTTCTCTGCCGGGCCCGCAACCTCTCACCTTCGAGGTATGTTCAGTTCATTTTGCCGTCAAAACTAGCCTACTTACTAATATTACTTTTATAGGCCACCAAGACAGCTCCTGCTGTCGAGGTCGCGGTCACTGGTGACGTTGCGGTCGACGTCGAGGTGGAGATGCCGCTGTCTCCTTTGGCAGGATCACCTCTCACCTGCAAGGTAGGTTACTCTTTTCTTGCTTCCCTGATTGATCTCATTTACTAACATAATTTTCAGACCACCACAGCAGCTTCTACTGCTGAGGTTGCGGTCACTGGTGATGTGATCACCGAGATGGAGATTGCGGCATCTCCCTCCACCCCCACTCCCACCACGAAGGTATGTAACGCTGTTATCACTCTCATTGTGTGCTCACTTATATTAATAATTTTGTTTACAGCCCGCCGAAGCAGCTACATATGCCGACTTCGACCTCGCGATGTGTCCAGCGTACCCACCATACTGGCACATCGCCTGCCACGGAAAATCATATTTCTGTTGGCAGCATGAGGACGGTCATATGGAGCCTGTCGACGTGGCTACCCTCGAGCGAGATGACGCTTCCCCGTGTTGTCTCTTCTACCCGCCTTGCACTCAACACCAACCGGCCAAATCCTGTTGGTGCCCTGAGTGCGTGGGCAGCCTCCGGTTTTGTTGTTGCTACCACTATCCGAAATACTGCAACTACCCCTACCCACCAGTGCCTGCTCCTATGAAGCCTTGGTGGGTAGAGCAGTGGATGTACGAACAGCAGAATCTGGCGGCTGAGAACCAGAATCCTGTGGCTAAAGCGCAGGTTCTGAAGCCTGAGAAGATGTCAACCGTGGCGTCCATCCCCGAGGGCCAGAAGGTGGAGGTGGTTGAGCCCGCCTCGGTGCCGGAGACCGTGGTAGCTGCCAAGAAGCCCATCCCGAAGCCCGAGAGCGTGGCAGAGTCCGCCGCGAGGCTGACAACGCCGATGAAAAGCACTCGGAAGAAGAAGAAGAAGAAGAGCAAGAAGAAGTCGGGCAAGAAGTCTTCACCTCCCCCGCCCCTTCCCCCTACTCCTACTCCGCCCGGGCCCGTCACACCCGTTCTGAAGAAGACTTCGGCCTTTGAAGTGCCCATGCCCACAGAGGCGGCCGCCCCCTCGCTCTTTGAGTGCGAGGAGATGCGTCGTCCGACAAGTGGTGCCTCTGGGTGCTTCTCTGAGCCACCCGGCTTCCTTGCCCTTCCTTCTCTCTCCCCGTTTGCTTCGACCCGGCGGGCTGCGAGCCATATCCGCCGTGTGTCCTGGCCGCTGACCCGGCTCAACATTGATGAACGCTTTGCGTGAGATGTTGAGTCGGGAAAGTGGTTGAGGGCGCAGGAGGGATGATGGAGTTTGAATGGGGTGTCCTGTACTAGGGGATGGCATGTAAGATAGCTGTGTGGGCAACGGATTTGATCCCCGTTGGCCGGTTTGTTCAGGTGTGAAAAACCTGGAAATCCAAGATATGATAGATTTTGTGAAAAGGGGATGTCATGTACGATAGCTGTGTAAGCAACGGATTTGATCACTGTTGCCGGTTTGTCCAGGTCTAAAAGCCTGGAAATCCAAGATATGATAGATTTTGTGAAAAGGGGATGTCATGTACGATAGCTGTGTAAGCAACGGATTTGATCACTGTTGCCGGTTTGTCCAGGTCTAAAAGCCTGGAAATCCAAGATAGGTCGTTCCGTCAAATCTTCCTGCTTCTTTGAATCTGTAGTTAGATTTGTAGATCGTATCTGCTAAATCGACTCTTGCCACTGACATCCATCTTAACCAAAATCATCTTGTTCTCGCCTATGCCCGTGGAGGATTTATCAATAGAGCACTACTCCATCCGCATCTATTCCCTGAGTCTCGCCTCCCGCTTTTGACGGCCCGAATACCTCCACTCTAACCTATCGGTACGAAGCAACAAATATGCTACCCGAGCAGTGAAACCTTCGTTACAATTGCCATTTGAACGAGTTTCTGGCTATCGACTACATCAAACTCTTACGACTCACCCTGCTCCGGGATTAATATAGAAGCACATTCTCATAGAGATATTCGTATGAAGGATGGAATGCAAGTCATATTATTGGTGATATTTTCAATTCGCAGGTACATTGCCCGCCCAAGGTATCATCAGTCATTTCTATATACAGTCACGCCTTATCTATACAGAAAACATTTACTGCTTATCGGGGAAACCGAAGTCCTTGCCAAAGGGAGGGAAGACGAAACGCTGGAAGGACTTGGTGGCTGCCAGAGAATCAGAGTACTTCTTGATAGTGGCGACATCCTCGGCGTCCAGCTTAATCAGGTCGGCGCGGTTGGCCTCGATGCGGGAAGGAGTGACGGACTTGGCCAGGACCGAAGAGCCACGAGCAACTGAAAGAAACATGTTAGCATCTTGCACCAAACCAAAATGACGAGGAAAGGAACTTACTGTGCCAGCTCAGCAGAACAGTAGCAGGGGTAACGCCACGCTTCTTCGCAACGGCCACGATAGGCTCAGCAGTGAAAAGCGGGCTACCGGTACTACCCAGAGGGCTGTAAGCGGTAATATGAATGCCCTTCTGGTTGCAGAAGTCGACAATCTCCTGCTGGGGCAGAGAAGGGTGGTTCTCGATCTGGTTGGCAGCGGGGATTATGGTGGCCTCGGCCAGGAGCGCCTCGAGGTACGGGACACTGCAGTTGGAGACACCGATTGCCTTGACCTTGCCAGAGCCAACGAGCTTCTCCATGCTCTTCCAGGTAGTCACGTGGGAGTGGCTGTGGTCAATGTCCCGAGAGCCATCCGCGAGCTTGGGGAAGATGGGGTGGTTGCCTTTGCGATTCGTTAGCTGGAGTCGGGAGAAATGCATTTGCGAGATTCTTACCCTTGGGGTTCATTGCCAGAGGCCAATGCATCAGGTACAAGTCCAGGTAGTCCAGACCCAGGTTTTTCAGACTCTCCTCCAGACCCTCCTCGACACGGGCGTGGAAGGAGCACCAGAGCTTGGTAGTGATGAACAACTCCTCACGCTTGACGATGCCGGCATCAATGGCCTCTTTGATACCCTGGCCAACCTCGTGCTCATTACCGTAGCAGAGAGCTGTGTCAATGTGGCGGTAGCCAACCTTGATGGCGTGGCTCACGGCACGAGCAACTTCTCCAGGGGCGGATTGCCAGGTTCCCAGACCCAGGGCAGGGATCTCGGCACCGGTGTTAAGCTTGAAGCGAATATCTGCGACGGCCATTGTGTTGTGTGATTGAAGTATTTTGACTAGAGAGAGAGAAGAGAAAAAAAGAAAGTAAGAATCAAAACCGCAGAAAGAAGTAGTTTTCTCGTGGTAAAGATAGACCGAGTCGCACCCCCCACGCGGGGTTGCCAAACCATTGAAAACTGCCCCGCTATTCCTCCGTCGTCCATTGCCCGTTGCCCTTTGCCCGTAACCCCCGCGTTTTCCCATCAATCAGAATCGACAGGATTCCATCGGTTTCGACCCTCAAAACCATGCAAATTTCTTCCAAGAATGCATAGATGAAAGTATACAACACAACATACCTGATGCGGACAAGATTCGGCGCCGACTGCCTAAAGCGACGCATGCAGCAAGTCCCGGAAACCAGAATCCTGGGCGACGTCCTTCCTGGTCCCGCCTGACATCATATTCCCCACGATCCAGACCACCGCCAATCATGGCTCGCCATCGCGTTACCTAACAGTGGAGCCCTCCAGGTCTCACCTAGGGCTTTGTCGGCACGGATTCTGGAATCCGTGATCCATGCTCCACGAGGCCGATTCACACACCATGTCTGCAAATCATGGGCGATCTCTGGGGAAGGATTTTCTACGAAGAGAAATGTTCTCCGTGATAGGCTCGGAAATCTAGACGCGATTACTGGGTAGCCGTGGCGATGATGCTATATATGGATCTGGACTCCCCCAGATTCATGTTTAGCATCCTCTCCCAAGCAAATAAGAAGACTTGCATTTCTCATTCTCGATTATAAAAGAGCGAGCGTTGCAACAGACTTGTGCATCTTTCTATCATTTTTCACGGAAACAAAAGTCCTCAGCACTAGGACTTTTCTTCACACATACACACAATGGCACCAGTCGCTATTGAGAACAGCCCTCCTCCCGCTGTCGCCAAGCGGAATGGTCAGGCTTTGGAAGAGATGTCTGATGCCATCGATGAGGTCAACGTCATCAAGGTCAACATGAAGAAGGCCCAGGAGGCCGAAGAGAAGGGTCTCTACGAGGAGTCCGAGTTCGACAAGGAAAAGGACAAGACAGGATTCCGCCAGTACGAGGACGCCTGCGACCGCGTCAAGAACTTCTACAAGGAGCAGCACACCAAGCAGACGGTTGCCTACAACCTCAAGGCCCGCCACGAGTTCCACACCCAGACCCGCGCCGAGATGACCATCTGGGAGGCCATGGAGAAGCTCAACACTTTGATCGACGAGTCCGACCCGGACACCAGCCTTTCCCAGATCGAGCATCTCCTCCAGTCCGCAGAGGCCATCCGCCGCGACGGCAAGCCTCGCTGGATGCAGCTGACCGGTCTGATTCACGACTTGGGCAAGCTGCTCTTCTTCTACAATGCCCAGGGCCAATGGGACGTTGTCGGTGATACTTTCCCCGTTGGCTGTGCCTTTGATGAGCGGATCGTCTACGGCCGTGACTCCTTCAAGGATAACGAGGACTTCGGACACCATGTCTACGATACCAAGTTCGGTATCTACAGCCCGGGCTGTGGTCTCGATAAGGTCATGCTCTCCTGGGGTCACGATGAGTATCTCTACCATATCGCCAAGGAGCAGTCTACCCTCCCTGACGAGGCTCTCGCTATGATCCGTTACCACTCGTTCTACCCCTGGCACAATGCCGGCGCTTACCACGAGCTGATGGATGACCATGATAAGGCGATGCTGCGTGCTGTCAAGGCTTTCAACCCTTATGACCTGTACAGCAAGAGTGATGGTATCCCCAGTGCCGAGGAGTTGAAGCCTTACTACATGGAGCTCATCAATGAGTACTTCCCTAACAAGGTTGTTCGCTGGTGAACTCCACTTGGATAAACATTGCTTGGTCATTTCTTTTGTTCATTATGAGATTCCCATTTTTCTTTTATTATGAAGCGTTATCTAAACACATACACTATATGAATGAATATGAAGTCTAGCAAATGCTGGACGTGTTTACATCGGAAACAAACTCTGTACTCATGATTCCGAGTATAACAAGTTAAGGCGTATAGCCAATCAAGCGGCAGATTATGATCAATTTCCTTGAAACATTTAGAGCAATTCAAAGTAGACCGCAAGATCAGTCAGGGCTTGGTATCAGCCAACACGCCATCTTGCATTGTTCGGACCTGAGTCTCCACTCTTACTTGTAAGAGACAAAATATCCAGTTATGAACATGACGTTCTATCTAGTAGATTGGGGATACAACATCTCGCCAAGCCCAACAAGGTGTCTCCATGTCAACCAGCAAAGACGTAAAGGTGGATGTACGCAATGTCATGGAGGGTCTTATTCCTCTCACCGATGCTGCCTTTAGCTGTGATCGTGTATGGATCCGCTCAGGCCATTGTAAGTGCTCTGGGTGATTTTTTTCCAGGTCACACATAAATGATGTGGCCTTCATTCTGTTCCAAGACAGCACTCCGATATGCGAGGTCCTGGTGGACTTGAATTCTGTCTGGTTCTCGCCAATACCGAGTATCTGCTCGCAGCCACCCACGGACCTAGTGTTTTGGCCATGGCGAAAGATTAATGTTTGATGCCCAGCAGCATGACTTTGCTTAGAAAAGAAGACCCAGCTCCATCGATCAATGCTTTGGCTCCCTCCTAGCAGCTTATATCCGTCAGTTTGAAAATTCTTAAAAAGGATAAGAGGGTCGAAAAACCTATTTGTGCATACAGCCTCATTTGAAGTTCTTGTGAGACTTTTCAGGGATGTACAACCATGAGGCAACAAATGAGGTTTCTGCTCGCGGATCAGCGTGTCGATGATCCCTGCATTCCCCATTTGAGAATTCTTGCGTGGACTTGTGTCAGTCCACACCCCACCTACTTCTCATGTTGATATGAGGAGGATGAGGTGGGGTTCAATTTATGGAGTGAGGTGAGGTGAGTTGTGGAAGAAGAATAGAAAAAGAGTAGAGGAAGAAGGTCTTTATAATGCTGAGTAGTGGTTGCCTATGAAAGGTCTTTTGATAGAAGTTGTAGTAGTTTTGTGGATCCTTGAAATGACCTTGATAGTCTTTGTGTTTATAGTGCGCTTTCTTACTAACAATTCCATCTTTATGGTCCACGCCAGCCTTGCTGGATAACACAGTAACACATCTACAGACGAGCACTCTCAACCCGATTCCCACTCTCATCAAAGAAGATCTTCTTTCCAGAAACCATAGCCTCCTGCAATGCAGCTCCAATTCGAACAGCCTGCACAGCACCCTCCAGCTTCAAAGGCAGCTCCCGATTCTCCAAAACAGCAGCCGTAAACTCATTCGCCTCCGTAACAAAAGCAAACTCAAATCGGTCCCAGTATGTCTGCGGTATCTCCCTCCGCACACCCTTGTCATCAGAAAGATGCACAAGATTCATCTGTGGAATGGCATTCACAGCCACCTTCCCCTTCGTGCCGATAATCTCGGTCGTATCCTCCTGACCCGCAGCCATCATCCGACTAGCATAAAAATAAGCAATCTTGCCATCGAAGAACTCCACCAGTCCCACTGCATTGTCGCGGTCATTGTGTTTGCGGAGATCAGGCTCGACGGCCGTGATGCCCACTGCCGAAACGGATTTGACTTTACTATTCGCGCCGAAGAACCAGAGGGCCAGGTCGATGTCGTGAATTGAGCAGTCGACGAAGATTCCGCCGCTGTATTGGGCGTAGGCGACGAAGAAGCCAGATGGGTCGAGCTTGTCGCAGGTTTGGCTGCGGAGGACGGAGGGAGTACCGATTTGGCCGGTTGTCATCTTCTTGTGGGCGTCTCGGTAGGAAAGGTCGAAGCGGCGGGAGAAGCCACACATGACTTTGATATGGGGTTTTTTGGCGGCGGCATCGACAACGGATTGGGACTGGGGTCAATTAGCTTTTTTGAACTATCCCTGGGTAGTCGTTGTGGCACTCACTACTTCGACACTGGTTGATAGTGGTTTCTCACAGAGAACATGCTTCTCCGCATTGATAGCCTTGATTGCTTGCTCGGCATGGACAGCTGTGGCTGAGGCGACTACCACTGCTTGCAAACCCTCCTGCTTGAGCATCTCATCGTAATCTTGGTATAGACGGACGCCGAACGGCTCGAGGTGTGTCTTGGCCCATTCTAGCTCGGCGGGATCGGGCGAACTGGCGGCGACGAGTTCGGCTCGGGGAGTTCGTTCGAGGAAGTTGAGGGCATGACGCTTGCCCATGCGACCGAGACCGGCGCAACCAATTTTGAGTCTTTGGACCATTGTATAAAGAATGTACAGGAATTGCTATGATCAGGAATTGTTGGAGTGAAACTATTTAATGGTGAAGTGCGGAGGCCGAAATCCGAAAAGTGGAGAAAGTGGGACTTGGAACTTGGAAAGTGGGAACCTCCATCAACCCCGGAATTCGCGCTGTTCACGGGATCGGAAACTGAGTTCCTTCATATTGACAACCGATTTACACACGATCAGACAGATTATTGACTTGAATTCAGCATCCGTCTGTCTTCTTTGCGCGACGAGCTTTGCGCTTCTCCATCTCGATGGGATCGACGAATCCGTCACCCCGCAGCCAAGTCAATCCTTTTCGCAGACCGCCACCTTGAACTGCGTCTGGGTTTGCCTCCAGAATAGATCCCATCAGCGCCCAAGACATCACAAAGAGTGCCAGCTCACCGCTACGTCCTCCCTTCCACAGTCTGCGCTTGATCCCGGTCTTCCAGGCCGAGTCCAGAGCGGCACGGAAGAAATACGTGAATAAGCTGCGACTGTTGCCCATGAGCAAAAATGGGAGACCGCCCAATGCACCGCTCAAGAAGAAGCGTTTGGTGGGGAGTGTTGCTCGGGGGAGTGTACTGTTAAACAGACAGACGCTGCCCCAGGCCGAACCAATAGCGGCGGAGAGAACGGCGGTCAGCAGGATGATCTTCTTCGAGATCGCATTAATAGACGTAACGGGTTGTGCGAGGATGCTCTTGAATTTGGGGATGCTCAGTGCCAGAGTGATTGTTGTAAGGAACCGGGCGAGCAGGGGCACCGAGAGCAAGAGGTGATGCAGAAACGCCGTGCTGCAGTTGGGCAGACTCGGGTGGAGCACTGCGCATGATAGGCTCGCGATCGAGGGATGCGCAGGTCCAGTGATTGGGGAGAGGGACTTGACCGCTGCTGGCAAGGTATTAGGGTCGGTCGGGTGGAGGATTGGAGACACAAAGGTCCTTAACATCATGTCAGTGTATACAAGGAAAGCCGGTGTGATCAAACTTACGGCCAACGCAGATCCGCAATAGATGCAAGCGAGTCCACAATCTCCTCCTTCTCCGGCCAAGGGACATTTCCAGGGAGTGACTCCGGTCGGCTGGGGATGTAACTGGGGGATAGTCTCAGAATAACCTTCCCAAACCACTATGAAATATTAGCATCATCAACACGTAAATCAACGATAGGATCACAAACACCGGGAGTTGTCTCGCGATCAAACACAAACGCATGAAAGAGCTGTGCACACGAGACCGGCATTAGCAGCCAGCTGCCGAACCACCACGGGCGACTATCCAGCCAACCCTTTGCATCCATTGCATTGAACAGATACTCCAGACTGCGCGTAGAGGCCCAAATGGCAGCCGTCAACCGGAGCTGGTCCTGTGGGGCAACGCCTAGCGCAAAGCCCGCCAGACTGGCTCCGATGGCGGGGGCATATTTTGATGTCAACGCGCGCGAGACCCGCGGATTTCGCTCGCGGAATGAACGGGCATCATCGGTGCCGAGATTCGCGCGCAGTCTCACGAGGAAACGATACAGGAGACGGTGGAGGAGGAGTAAGAGTGACAGAGAGAACGAGAGGCGGAAATTTGGGGAGCGGAGAAGCGGGGTGCGAGTTTTCTTCCTATATGATAGAGTTAGTTAGATTTACTGCCTGAAATCAAGCTCGGTGGGATATCGTACTGGAGCGCATTGCCTTTGACTCGATTCATGATGATCTCCACCAGCTTCAACGCGACACTCGAGCCAACAAAGACACGCAGCGATGCGCGGACGGCTGCCAGACTATGGCGGTTTCGTGAAACAGCAGCAGGATCATCGCATAGGGATGAAGGTAGTGTGCCTTTCAGGGCTGGGGCGCGTTTGACGGCAATGTCGTAGAGGACTCGATACTCTTTCGCACTGAGGCAGAGTCGGACGGTGTTGCGCACGGCGGGGCGGACATCTTTCACATCTCCAGGATCGGGCACGACGACCCCCGGGGAGGAAACCGGGGCTGACATGATGAAGTTAGTCCCAAGTCCTGACCTTGGAAATCAGGTAAGGTTGAGATGGTGAGATCTGGGGTGGAGAGGTTCTCCGCTTGAACACACGGGCCATGTGGACCGACCTCGGCTTGGTGGATGGACCAATAGTACGCCAGTGTGAATGGCTAGATATGCCGAACGTAGTTGACTACAGCTGGAGTGTATATAGCCTACAGTGTATAGAACGAATTCGAATCTCAGTACAATGGATATCTCGGTTTATTGTATACGACAAACATAGACGCGACCAGTCCAGAGAACATTATGGACTCAGACCGCAACAAATTCAACAGTGCCGGCAAACGAGAAATTTATGGAAACAAAAAGACAGCAGGGTCACTGTAGGTACAAGCAGAAGAAAAAAGCACAAGGAAGGTAAGATAAATCATATCGCATCAGAACACACCAAACTCCGGCTCGACAAACCGAGCTCACCAGAAACTGCACCATCCAATCCAGTGCTGACAGATATTCTCCACATTAGTGGCTTGCGCAAGGAGCTTATCAACCTGATCGGTAATATTGAGTTCCTCATAGTGCTTGAAGTCACGTCCGGTCAGCTTCTCCTTGACACGAGCAAGTACCTGGACGGCGCGGGCATTCTGGGCCTCTCGAGCCTCGGCGGGGACGCCTTCTTGAGTGTCGAGGATACCGCCTTCTAGGATTGAAGGTCGGCGGTGACGAGAGAAGTTGCTCGGTTGCACACCGTCCGCGAGGTTGATGCCTTCGATAATCGACTGGCGGCGTTCGGCCGTGAGAGACACGCGATCGGGGGACTCTTGAGCTCCAAGCCGCCAATTAATCAGAGGATCGTGGATGAACTAGAGAATGAGTTAGAATTGCGATCCCTTCATAGTCAGTATAATAAAACTTACAGCTTCCAGAACTGCCATCAATGAGTCCTTATTTTCTCGAAGGACACGCATGACAGCCTCGCAAGTAATACGGTAGCTTCCCTCGATATTGCTGACCTCCATAGCAAAGGTCAGCATCCGAGTGAGTCGGAACGGAACTCGCTCGGGATATTTCTCGCGATGCATGGCGACTTCGAAGCAGTCACCAAAATCGATATGAATTACCCGACCAGTGACCCGATCCAACAACAAGTTCGAAGGATGTCGGTCACCCAGACCAAGAATATAGCCAACCATTGACATGACACCAAGGGATCTGGTGTAATTTGTGCGCCGCTCAAGCCATGCTTCGGAACTCTTACTCTTGAGCCACAATACCCGGTACAGATCCTTGCCGGTTGTATTGTCCATGGCATATCCAAAGACCTCAACCTTTTGCATGAGGGTAAGGCTGTCATAGTCAGGTGCCATCTGAAGCATGATTCGGTGTTCAATGTTGAGCAGAATGCGACGGCTTTCCCGGTACTCCTTGATGAGAGCGTGCAATGTGTCAGTGTTGCACACCCAGCCTAGCAGACCAGAGCTTTGCGACAGGGGAATGGCAGGGAAACGTTGGACAGAAAGGTGACGATTGAAGCTTTCACCATCGTTATCGAGAAGAGTATTGACCAGGCCAAAGAGCTGCATAACTCTCTCGTCCTGTCGAATATCTTCGTGACCCTTGACTAAGTACATGTAAGAGCAGCCATTGTTGCCCTTGAGTGTCATCCGTCGTGGTCTCTTCTTGGTCTGGAGGACATGCAGAATTGGATCAAAGCTCATGATGCAAATAACCGGGCGACCACTCTGGTATGTTCCTGGCACGGCCAATTCTAGGCCGGAGCAATCCTTGAGGCGGGGAGATACATATTTGAGGTCAACGATAGATAGCTGTGGAAGTTGCCTGCTGATCTTGCGGAACACAGTGTAATAGAGATCCCAGGCTTGGTTCAAATCTCCAATCTCATCCGTTTGGCGGTAGAGAACACAATAATGTTTAGCCTCTGCGAGATCACGGCCAAAGGCTTGTGCGAAAGAGACTTCGCGGAGCGTCTCTGCTCCCTTGTCCAGCATATCATGAAGAGGCGCAAGGGTTGCGAACATGCCTTCCACATTGTGATCACCGAAATAGAGACGGGACGCCTCCTCCAGACCTTCATGCCAGAGTTCGTGCCACAGGACAGCAACTCGGATCAATTCGTGGCTAACAAGGTCTGCCTGTTCAACCAGCTTAGCACTGTGCTGTCGCATGCTTTCCATGATGCTACTAGCAGACTGGGAGCGGCGTGCAACGTTCGACTTCATGGCCACCGTCAACGGATACACCAGAGCCTGAGGATGTGCTTTTCCGACCTCGGCAAGCAAGCGGTGGACGGAGCCCCGAACTCTGACATTGGGTTGGTTGATGCGTGCAATAATTTGAGGTGTCACAGAGAGCCAGGTATCGATATTGACGGTAGTGAATCCTTCAGTGACGACGGTGTTGACTTCATGGTCACCTCCGTGAGTGAACCATAAGGTGAGCAATCTCAGAGTGTCTTGCAGCGAGGAAGCTGAGGACAAAGCGATAGATCGCAAGAAGCCACGGAGAGCGGGAATAACATGCTCCGTGACAATATGAGCTGGAACTGGCGCTGGTTTGCCATCGCGACTTGCCTGGTTGGAAATCGCTGTGACCACTTCAAAGTTGGCAAGGGCCCAGGAGTGCCAAGCCTTGTATGAATCACGATTATATTGCGTGGCTGCTGAGTAGGCACCGAGGACTTCACGGACATACTCTGGTCTCCAGTCGCCCTTCTGAAGAGCAGTCTGCCATTCACCTTGTCGGAGGTAACTCTTGGAAAGGAGCTTTCGAAATTTGCCAACATCTCCAATGCGTTCACGCAGGCTGATAGCATCGGGGTGGCTCGGATCTGACATACCATTGACACCGTTGATAGCGTTGTGTTCAGAGTGAGACACCATAAGCGTGTTGAACTTGGACAGATCATCACTCAATTCAGATGTGAATGCCTTCAACATCTCAAGGGATTCTTTCTGGTGGCCGTTGGCCCAGCTGAATTTCAGTCGAGCATAGGTAACCTCAGGAGGAGCGATAGAGTGTGCTCCAGTGGCGTCTGTAACCACTGTCTCCAAGGCGGCGAGAGACCGTTCGGCAAGACCCATGCGGTTCGATTTGCGGCAAAGATTGGCAAACTTGATAGACATATCAAGATTCTCCTGAGGCGCGGTCACGAGTGCGCGGACCTTGAGCATGCGCTGCCATACCTCCACATTCTGCTGGCAACCAAGCAAACGCTGATTCCAAGTCTGACGCATTGCTTCCTGCTTCTCAGGATCACCAACATTCTGCTTGTAAGTTATAATCTCCTCAAGCTCAGCAAGCATTTGCACGCGGACGACAACATTGTAAGCCCGATTGTAGGACTCTCCAAGAAGGGCAGAAAGCTCGGTGTCCAGTCCGTTGCGTGCCTTTTCGATATACATGTTAGCCTCCTCAAACTGGTTGCGGTGGATAGCAAGAATGGCACCGAAGAACGATCGATCGGGAGACTGTTCCTTCATGACGCCAAGGTAGGAGTCCATCAGCTCCCACTGTCGGCGACCCCATGCGGCAGCCGCAGCAAGTGGGGCAATAGCCCTGCGATGCTCCACGGATGCTTGGTTCCATTTCTCCTGGGCAAGATCTGAGAGGACCTTCCACTCACCCAAAGCATGTAGACAACGCATTTTACCCATGGTGATACCAAAAGAGTCCGGATCCGTCTTCTCACGTCTCTTGTAGGCCGCGAGAGCTTCATCCCACCGCTGAAGCTTTTCAAACCAGGTTTCTTTCAGCTCTACATCACGATACGCTTGCGCTTTGCGGAGGATACCAATTGCAGCGTCAGACTGCTGGAGTTGGTTGTTAATGGTAATGAGAGCCTCGACAGCACCCGAGTTCTGATCCTGTTCAAACTCCAGTTCCTTGTAATGAAGGGCCTTGGCAAAGGCGTGACACTTAGCCGCATACTTTCCAAGGGTTCGAATGTCGATGGGAAGAGCCTTGTCATCATGCTCCATGAACTCAGCTAGATTGAGAAGGATCTGCAGAATCTCCGGTGAGATGTTCGGCGAAGTGAGCGCCTTTTCAATGGATCGGACAAGCTCTTCTTGATACTGATCATACAATTCAGTCCAGCATGAGACGAATGCGGCATTGAACAGATCTCGGGCCAGTGGCTGATAGATTCCAGCTAAGCTGGCACACGCTCTTAGGGCAGGGGAGGGCGACTCTTTGAGAAGCTCCACACTGAATCGGCGAATCCACTCTTGCCAATCTTCACGAGTAGATTTTTGCGAAGCATCCCATGCATTCTTCAAATGCTGTTGATTGACCACCATCTTCTTTTGTCCAATTTCTGCATAGTTGGTATCGTCAACTGGGAATGCGTAGTTCTCTTCCGGATTGAGATCTTGGGGAAGCGGGTCTCCCTTTTGAAGCTTTGTCACCAAAATCTGGTAATTAACATGGCTGATCTGGTGCTGCTTGAGGACCTTGTTCAAAAGATGGATGTAGTGAGTGAAATCCTGGCCAAGCTGAAAGATCAGAGCACAGATGCAATCCAAGGCAGCTTGCCGCAACACGCGGTCAGTGCCTGCCACAACGCGGGAAAGAGAATGCACCATGAGGGATGCAAAGTCCGACACGTTGACTTGTCGGGACAACTTCGTCAGACTGTCGATAGCAGATTTGCGGATGCTTTGAGGATGTTGTGATCCGTCGAAAAGACGCACAATGGCAGGAATAATAAGATGCATGTACTCCTCGCCACTTGACCCAAAGATCAGGAAAGCATGAAGAATCTTTTCTGATGGCTGACGGCGGGGTGTTGTGTCTTTCTCAAGAGTATCCAGCATTGCTGGAACCAGACCAGCTAAATACTTTCGGAATTCTCCCTCCAATGACCTGGCGATAGCTTCAACTAGAGACAAAATGGTACCTTGAACCTGGTATGATGTGTCCCAGAACTCACGAACAACTTCGATGATTTCTGGGAGGAAAGCACGGATGTGCTGTCGCACAATGTTGACCAGGATAGC